GTTCACCATCTTGCGAGAGTTCGTGATCTTGCTGGACTTGTGCTCTCACAACTTCTATAATAAAACTAGTTCTGTATATCCTCAAACATCAATGTCCAATTTTAACTCCTGTGCTCCAGCATTCTATAGACTCGAATTCAGAAAAAATTCTATAACTTTGAAGTTCTGAAGTCTGTCTTCCAACGAAGTCTAAAATGGTGGTCAGTAGATCGGTATACAGTTGTAGTATAGCAGGACGAACAGTAGATGGAGAGTCATAGATTGACGAGTTTGGTTAGAAGTCGAGCGTCAATTTCGAGAGATGAGAGCCCGCCAGGCTTTTCTCGCAGTCACCGATGTCGCGGCTGATTCTGGAGAACTGATAAGTACCTGCTCGAGGCGAACGGTAGATTTATTACCGTGCTTGTCGGTTAACCTCTCGCTAGCATCGTTGCTCCCCGTTCTATCATTTGCTTCCACCCCTCGTTGCCGACCCTCTCTCGTTTTCTTAGTACGATTTCTTGCCCTCGTCTTGTTCCGCGAACGATTCGTACACCCCCTTCTCTCGACCAAAATTCGACTTCCGTTTTATTGGCGGAAATAATCTTTGATGTGATTGCGCTTTGCCTTGGAACTTTTTCTGTACGAGGGCGAGCGGTCGATCGATTCGCGATACGAACAGCCGATTGAACTCGAACACCGCCAGCCACTCTGCGTCCGCATATTTACGATAACGTGTTCGTTTCTTATTTTTTTTTCTCCCTCTCCTCGCCTCGTTACATATTAATGCGAGCTCGCATTAGCATAACAGCGAACAATATCGGGCGAAGAAAGAACGGTATATAAATAAAGCGGTAAGCCGTTTCGAGGGTACGAAATAAGAGAAAAGGAATAAAGATAATTTTCTACGGCGCGGAACGAAGAGTGATGCGTCGCGATTGTTCGATAAGACACGGTATTATAAGTCGCGGAAGGAAAGCGTGTCGCGTAGAAATATCGGAGTTTCATCCAGGCCGCTTCAACCCCTTCGCTTGGCGAACCAACAAAGCCGCCTTCCTAAAGGTATCAACGACCCATCGCTGTCTTAATTTCCTTCGTAATCTGGGTTATTAATATAGCTTTGGGGTCGCTGGCGCGTAATTTCACGCCGCATAGAAATTAATAGAAAGACGAATGCTCCCTTCGACCGCTTTACGGACCGACACTCGTACAGAATAGCAAATGAACCCAACACTCTCTACACTTTTAATTCGAATAAATCACTGCGTCATAGACACGTCGTAGGAATTTTTATAACTTTCAAATAAATTATCAGAAACAAGTACTTCATCAAAACACAACTCGCAACGTCAGAACTCGAAACATTCAGTATACCTATACCAGTTTATAGTCTATACTAGTTTCTAACGATTCATACTAGAAATTCCTTTAAAAAATGCTGTATAATGAAAAGTTTAATAATCCTGAGATGTCCTATTGTTCGAGGAAAGCCCACTAATTCTTGGAACCGAACTTACCCCTCGATCGACGTCGATGGGACACGTGACATGACATAGAGGCCGCGAACGTTTCCACGTCACCGTTCGTATATGTACGGTCGGACAATGAGCCGTGGTTCGAGACGTCGAGTTGTGTATTATCGAGTGGCATTCCGACGCGCCTCTGCACCGACATTTAGATAGCGGCGTCAACTGTCTACGGGGGTAAATCTGTCTTGGAAGCAAAGGCAAAGCGCACTTCCCCTCAGCGAGCGGCGACGCCGAGCCCTCGCTACCGAACCGAGCGAATTCACTTCTGATCGAATTAGCGCGTCACAGTTCCCTGATACCCCGACAGTCTGAATTAATTAACAGGAGAACGTGCTAGGTAAGCAGCCATTATCGAAATAAAGCGAACAGATATGACACGCTGTCACGGCCGTGGATAGACTCGTTTTTTACCGCTGATTAACCGAACATGCGTCTGAAAATATCAAGCGCTATTTCGAACCTTACGGAAATGGAGGATAGATGCATTTTTAATAGGATTTTGGTATTTGGCTCATAAATTTAACCTTTTCGAGGATACTTGCGCTAATCATTTTTAAATTCATCGCCCAAACATATGTATCATTATTACATACATGTGTATGTATATCATATGTATCATTATCATTGCTTTTGTAAAAGTTTCTTTATTTATGATGTGTGGTACAGTATTTTACTTAAAACTTTATCAGCATACGACACCAAAAAATTAAGTTATCTGAAGAAGTTAGATGATCACGATTTAATCTGGCAACTGAAGACAACAAGTACCATTTTGAGGCATCTAAACTCTGAGTAGGTGCAAACGCGGAGGGTGTATCTTAGTATCATAACTCGCCGGTGAATAATAAAAGCATTTCCTTTTTTTCTGGAAGGGGCAGTACATCGAGTACATACGGGCATTGCGTATTCAGCGGATGTGCTGGCCCGTGTTGAGATCCTGTTTGAGTTTTATGTCGGGATTTCTGTCGAGTGGTTTATACCGGCGCTTATGTAAATTCAGACGTGATTTTTTTCACGACCTACCCGGCCACCTGCACGAATACGCAAAAGCATTTGTGGCAAAGTCAATCGTCATCACTGTTCTCCAAATAAAATAACAATCGCACATAAAAATGACAAACGAAAAAGAATAAATTTTCTGACATTCGAAGCTATAAAATTCTGGTTTCAGTAAACGTAGAACGCTTTCCAATACGCGTCTCGTTATTAAGGGACTGGAAGGATGATTTAGCGTCATCAAAAATGAATTGAGATAGCATCTGTTCGTGTTCGTAACTGACGTTGGGCGTTCGATTTTCCATTCCTTTAATTCCGCGATTCCGGAACGGTGAAAGCGGAGAAGACAGGTTTAAGGGTGATACGAGAGAAAGGGGAGAAAGGAGCGATCGGAACATCTAGCATGGACCGCCATAAAAAGCAATGCTCCACCGTAACGGGGTACGATAAGTGGCATGGCGCGAAGTAAAATCGATCCCGGGGGCAGTCTCGGATCGTGGGCCATAAAAAGGGAACATTAGAGCGAGGAAGATGAACAGGACATAGAAAGAGACGATAGGGACGAGATCATGGCATAATGGTGTTGTGATTTCCCAGCTAGATACGCGATACAGATTGCGTCGGTGCAGCGTTAAACGCTTAGGGCATTAGTGACGTTAAATGGCAGCCGTAACGTCGGCAATGGCGCGAAGAGACGCTCGCGCGAAGAGTTTCGGCGGTGGCCATTAACGTGCGGGAAAATCGGAAAACGACAATGGCGAAAGGGTTGTTGCGCAAACCGTTGAACGTCCTCGGCGTCGCGACTTTGAACGCTGCTAAGTCGAGAGGAAGCCTCCGAGATTCGTCGGCAAACAGAGCAAGTTGTCGAGGCCGGAGGGTGAGAAACCCCAAACGGCAACACTTTGGCGGTAGTCAAGACCAGAAGATGGGAAGGTGGTGCAACGTGGAGGCTGTAGGGAATAAATTTTGTACTTGATCGCTACCGAGTCCCTACCGGGAGAGAAGAGCTACAGAAAGCGTCTATATTCTTGGTAGTTGCTGCTGCTCCTACTCAATTTGCATCAAACTATGGAGAGACAACCACCCCCGACGTTCCACCCTCCCAGAGCCACCGCTCTAGCACCTGATGGAGCTGTACACCCACCCCCGGTCTACAGTCGAGACTAACGCGTTTAGCAGAGACTCGAACCCCTAATCAGATCTTCCGACGACGCCGGGGGTTTCTAAGGTGCTGCTAAGTGTGAAGTTAATGGAGTCAAGTCGTTGCTTCTTCGTCCCATACCGTTAGACGGTACACCACTATTACAATTCTTAAATAATCCTCCCATCGTTATTAAAATCCTTCATTAAAATTTCTATCTTTTATAATCATTATGAACATCGGCCATCAGCAATTCCAAAATACTAATTCTAATAAAACATCAAATGTCTTGAAACACCAGAATGTAGCATACTCATCAAGAACGTCATCCACCGCATGTATAAAATTGAAAGATCTCGTGAACGCTCCCTGAAATAATAAAGATGGACGCAGTTTTATGATTTCGAGAATAAATCGCGGGAACGAGCTCGTTATATCGCGGTCGATACGAAGTATGTATAACACTCGGAGAGCGATGTTCACGGCACCTGACGAGAATTTCAAATCGTCGCGTATACTGACAAAACGATTTTCGAGTCCCTCGTGTGGATCCAGCGGATTGTGCTCGTTGGATGCCAGCCACCCTTATGATCCTCGTTTCGGAGGCTCTTTAGCATTTCCGGCGTATCGTCCTTTATGCGGGCAGGCATGCGCCCGGTTCGTGCAAAAAAATTGACTTTTAAGCCGGCAATAAAAAACGAGAAACGCGAAATCTTTGATTTTTAGAGCCGCCCCTCAAACCGGCGACAGTTGGCCGATGCGTATAACCCTCGCGGCAACCTTATTTCTCTTATATCGCAAACCAAGCACGTTCGTACTTCGCCACCATTTCGAGATCTACGTGTGTGTATATTGCTGCGTGTACCGCGTCGGATCATCGGGAAATCCTGGCGATTTCATACGTCGAATTTTAAGGAGCATTATTTCGCCACCCCGAGAAGAATGTTCGTAAGGGGTTGAAAGGTGGAGCGTACGAATTACACTCGGAGGCAGTTTGGCGAGTGGTTAAAGATTCGATTCCGGTATTCAGGGAGGATGGAAAAGAAGGTTAGAACGGAAATGGAGTCGCTGGTAATCCAGGTACGATGTAGCGTCTGCGAATCGAGTGGAAATTTACATTTAAAGGGCCTCGAAGACACTTCGGAATGGTACAGGACCGGTAACGCTGCCTGTTTTTATTTTCCGCAATTTCCTCGGCCGACCGGAACGGAAAACGGTCTTAAAAGGAATTAGCACGCTTTACTACTCCGCCTGTCTTCAATAACCCTTAGCTCGAGTTTCTTCAAACCATTTGCCACTTTTCAGACGCACCGATTACTGCGATACAATGATACCTTTTCTCGTTCTGTTCGCAGATTCTGTATAGGCGACAAGTTTTATCTGTGCGAGAACAAAATTCTGTGCGAGTACGACTACGAGGAGAGACTGGTCTTCGCGAACATGGCGCTGCATCCACCACACACCGCTACGTTGGCGCACATCAAGAGACATTTGACCCATCTCCAGCCACAGGTAATCGCGTTCCACAATAATTTGTTCAAAAAGTTTGATAGAAATAAAATTGCAAATATAATTGTACGCAATGGTCGACTACTCGTTGAAAGGTAAGGATATCGCGTTGACCAGGTCGCTTTGAATCTTGCAAAGGTCAGGACGATATCGGATGTTCAGAAGGCTGAAAACTCCTCAAGACGTAACCCCTTAAGGTGGGTTAAAGTGGCAGGTCGCTCGTCCTGACCCTCTCGACAACAAAGGACTCCCTCGAGGCTTCAGCTATGCTTTAGCAGCCCGCCATCGTCTTACGAGTTAGGATATCGCGTGTCCTTATTAATTAAGCTCGCCCGTTAAGCAAGCCTCATCGCATACCGTAACGATCCGTCCTCTTCAACGGCGATGGAACGTGCGAAAGAATGTACTCTTTGAACAGAAGGATTTGCCAGCGTCTTAAGTGAAATTACTTCAAGCATTTTCAAATCCCGATCAAATATCTGAAACACGTTGTTAGTTGATTGACGCTTGAAAATTCTGATAAGATACTCGAAAAGAGTTGTACGAGAATCCGCTGCATCAGGTTTGCAGCAAGCTCTTTACAAGCCGGAATTATGAACTCGTCGCGTTAAGCCGTTTGAGTTTCTTGATTATCTTAAGGCAACAGCCGTGCTTCGGAACAATATCTTAAGCCCTTGCTGTACCCAGGACCTGGTCCCTGTCTGACCCAACGTGGATCCGATCTACTTAATCCGACCCACGTCTTGCAAGGATGTTTACGTCCTTTTGCATGCTCGCGTCACGTACCATAATTTACCAAGTGCAATATTTACCGATCGGCTTCTGTACTGTACAGTCTGCAGATTTAACGAATTAATTGGTTCGGGCAATTAGAGCTTCAGAAAATTTCAAGAATGTAGAAATAGAAATATGATATATGTAGATTCATACATATACTGAATTACACATGACAGACTAGACAATTCTCTCACTTAAATATGGTATACATCAGTAAGTTTCATGAGCAACCAAAAACATTCACATTTCATAAAAATTACAAAGCGATTAAAGCTGTTTGCAAGTTCGTTATTTGAATAAATAATGTGAGTGACCACCGTAAATCGATAGCTCTCAGGTTTAATCCCCGCCTATCGGTCGAACGATTCGCATAATTGTTCGCAACTGTCGTTAAGGAAGTTTCAAGACAAACTTTTAAGACCGGTCGAAGAGCCTAGATTGCCGGGGCACACGCTCGAATTGTACGCATGCACAGAATAACGAGGTCCCCGGTCTGATGATATCAGCCTCGGCACCGTGTACTACTTATAATATGCAAATTTCCTCCCCTTAACCGTCCTGCCAGCGAGCTGCGTGTAATTCAGGGGTTGCTAACCCTTGCGACTCTATTTCTGCGCCACGTAAGTGTTCATGTTCTTGCGCGGCTGCCTTCTGCGTGCCGGTCCGCTTCCGTACTCTCGGTTCGCACGTTCTCAGCGTGCGTGAGTGTTTAGTTCAATTAATATCAGTTTGCGCGGACTAGAAACGTGACGAGTGTGACCTGGCGGAATCCGGAGGTAGAAAGAAAAAGAAAGGCGACGCGACAGGCGGGAAATCCTGACGGTGAAACGGAATCGAAAGAAATATCGCTTGACACTTTATGTGGCGATCGTACGATTTTACTGTCACGCAATGGAAACGGTGATGGTCTAATGCTGGGAGCCGACGTGTAGACACTTAAATAGACAACTTATAAATTTGAAAGCTTTTAATTTAGCCAGTAACATAAATTAATAAAATTTCTGAACCTACAAATCCGAAAACCTCAAGTACCGAAAATCTCGAAATGTGTAATTTGAGAGATAAAAGTTATCCGTCAATTACATTTCGGACATTCGGAGCCAATTAGAGATTAAAACAATTATATGAAAGCGACGGCTTAAAGCGTCATACCTGTCCGGATTTATTTAGATTACAACGAATCTCGTTATTATTCCGATGTGCATTGCCGATACATCACGTAACAGCGAAAGACACATTGAAACAGTATAACGCGGCGTCCATTCACGACAATTAACAGGCGACCATAGATGATGGAACGATTCGCGATCCGACGTTATCTGTCGTGTCAAGCCCGCACCGGAGACTGGCTGTCTCGACGATCGTCTTTTCCATTCAGGTGGTAAATGTCAGAGCGACATTCACCGAGGAAATAGCACGGGGCTACGGATGGTCGGGGTCGTCAGACACCTTTGAGTGTTCTCCGCGATCGGAGGCATTCACGCTCCAGGAACGACATGTCAAGAGGGATCCATCAGACTTAACGTAATAGATGCGCAAACGACATTAGCATGCCACGCCGATTATTGGCATTAGTCTGGCGTCCCGTTATTTCGCGCGCACCGGTCATTTATAACCCTCAGCCGTAAACCCTGCGGCGAAATCGATATCACCTGAACGCCTCCGGATCCTCGGAATAACAAAGAACGAGCGAGAATGGGAGAAATTACGGGACGAACATCAAGCCCTTTTTTATCAGCCGCTCTTAATGGTCTCGTTCGTTTTTCACCTCGTTAGAATTGTTCTAAACCGATGGAGATTAAGCGTTCTTGTTTGAATTTCAAATACAACGTAATTAGACGTATGACGTTATACCGAAATGCATTTATACATTGTAATAAAAATGTGAAGGGTTAAAGGAGATCGTGGGAACGGATTAGAGGAGTACGATCAGCGGGAATTAGGATGATATTCAACCCCCACAGTTTCAGGGAATTAGACGCAGCAATGAAATGCAAAGTGGTGGTGCTATCTCGACTTGACAAAATCAAGAGCGAGGGGGAAAGAAGCAGGCGTTAAGATTCTTAAAAACCGCGAAGAGGGTGGTCCTGGGCCACGGCAGCTGCCACCCTAACGTTCTTAAGCCGTGGCTATGGGAATGGCAAAGTTGGCCCGAGCAGCAGGAGAAGGTAGTTTTTCTGATTGCCTGGGAACAGACAGCTGTCCCAATCTTTCTCGGGCTCCGGCGGATCTCGTCGACGCTTGTAAATAATGCTGGACCGTGGATCGTTTACGAATAACTCGAGCGTGATCTCAGGTAAACGGGGGTGAAAAAAAAGGTAAAAGAGTACGGTCATCACCCTCGATAAATTCAATTACCACCCTCGTGTCCCACGTGTTTCTATGATCGCTAGAGAAAAAAAAACGTTTGAAAAGCGATCCTCTGTTCATCTATCAAACTTGTCACGCGGGTCTTTAGAAGCATTTAGAAAGACGTCGGAACTTCTAATCGATTCTCGGATCGTTTCTTTATCGCCAACTTCGACTGCGTAATCTCTCCCTCCACGGAGACAACTGTAACGCGTTTAAAAATTGGCGAGAGGTCTTATTTTGATCTAATTTTACCCTGGAGACCCGCGGAAGGGAAAAGACGTAGCGCGAACATGGGGTGAGAAAGAGAAAAAGGGAGAAGGGAGTTCGAAACGATTATCTGAGTTTTAAAACAAACTCTCAAGTGTCTGCAAAGTCCTACGCGAATCAGAGGGTTGAAGGAGAGGGAACAGCGGAAGGAGGTTGCGGAAGATAATATGCTAATGCCAAGACGGAGACTACATGGGAATTTAAGAGGATCAATGTGCAGTACGAGATTCGTACGGGGAATAAGGTATTACAACGTCTTCTACACTTCTTCCAGACGATTAGACCCTCCGAACTTCCCTAAACCTGCTCGGACGATTTGAATGAAATTAAACTTACGAATATACGTCATTCGGATGTAGCTGCAGAAGCACTTCTTGAATTATAAATTGTACAATTATGGAAAGTTCAATAATGTCGCTTCGTTTGGATGAGTATGTTGGGGGTGGATTTTGTCTCACATTCTGAATGGCAAACTTGAAATTTTCAAATGTATTTTTCAATGTTTAAATTGAACTGTCACATTTATAAATTACTAAACTTCAGAATTCTCAGACTCTTCCCAAAGTTCTCAACCTCCCAAATAAATGAAATTTTCAGAGTCTAAAACACCTCAAATACAATTCTCAAACTCCCAATAACAGCATCCCAACATATCCAGTACCCAAATATTTTTTTAAATTACAAAATCCTTAAACTTATATAGTTGCAATTTTCCAACTTCCTAAATTTCTAAATCACAAAATTCCCAAATTTGCAAACAACCTAAAAAATTCCCAAATTCCTAAAAGACGTCTCCACCTATATTCCACATGTTTCTGTAAGAAAGCAGCGTATCTGTACACCTATCCCAAGAATAAGACATTAATCGCGTCTCGACGAGAAGGCGAAGGCAGTTTGTAACTGACGGTAAACGGGAGCATCGAGGGGGTTGTCGGGGATTGTCGGTGGTTGCCGGGAGCTACGGGAATCGCGTGTCATTTGTCCGTTGATCTCCCGTGGCTGGGAACCAGCCAGGTGCATGCTAGTTCCTCCACGGTGGGTGCTTTTCTTAAGCGCAAAAATTAGCGCACCCTCTACACCATTCAGCCACACCTCGATTCTTACCGAGGCACGAGATGAGAATTAGGCGCGTCGTTTATCGGAGTAGGATCATTTAGAACGGAATGACCATGAACCTCGCTATCGTGGATTACATCGCCAAGGATTCTGATGTTCATCATTTCTCTACTCGAGACTTTCGTGCTTAACGTTAATTAATATCTTTTTCAAATGTATCATCTTCCGAATTAATCTCAAAGGATTATAACCACTGAAATAAAATATTCTTGTGGACCAAAAAAATTACTGTCAGACTCAGAGAAAAGCAATTGCAATTAAACTGAAGAAGTTCAAGTCTATAAAACTGACTGTATCTATAAAACCTTTCAAGTCTACAACACAATTATCGGGATAATAAAATAAACCTGAGGATTGATAATTTTCTCGTAAACCATGCATCATTACACGATGTCATTTAGATGGTTCATTAAATTTGATCGTGTGTGCACTCTATGTAATAATCGTTACAAAAGAGAGTCGGAACACGTAGCGTTGTTTCGCAACTAAACTCATAATCTCACATAAGCTCGCAAGCTGAGCTTTCCCATGCGAGCCTTCTACCCGCTGGTGTACAAGGGACTACACGGTAGCTATGCGTGAAATTCAACCGAATACGGTGCATTTAATAGTGCTCTAAACAACAAAACTCTCTATATTTATCACGGACAAATTCGACGAATCTTCAAACTTCGAATATTAAACTTACCGAATTGTAACAGACATTTCGGAAGTTTCCGTGTCGTTTGATTACAAAGACGGTAAATCCACGGGACAGTAATTCCTCTGGCAATTGTAGATAAAACTTGAATAAGTCATAGACTTAATTTAACCGGTGGTAGCGAGTAACGGAGCCATCCACGCAGATTTCTTAATTACGTGCGGCCTCTTGGCTGTAGGGAGGTGAAAAGAAATAGAGAGGAAGAAAGAGGGTAGAACGGAAGGGGAGAGAACGGTGTACGAAGGTTAAAAAGGGTTCCGCGGCAACGAAGATTTAGAAATCCTTGCAAGGGTCTACCGCGGTGATAAAGCATTTCTTTCGCGGCGCTTTGTCATTTTTATCGTAATTATTTACGAGTTAATTACTGTCCCCGAGAATTCTTTTTACCTTCGAGGACACTCAACGTGTCGCTTCTTGGAAGAATTATTAATAGAGGTTCTGTTTGCTTCTTATCGCGACGAAGCTAGTTCGGCCACTTTGGTAGAAAGTTCCATCAGACGAAAATCATGAAAATGTTCATGGAAGTTGGCCATGATCAAGTTACGAGGTAAAATCATGGCAAGAGAGGATCCGTTAGACGGCGCCGTCAGCCGCACGGTCTGCCGAATTTTAAGCCTGTATAATTTAACACCTTTTGCCGGCGAAACTAAGAGAAACTGATGGTGAAGGGAACAACGTAGCCGGAGATACGAAGTTCGAAGTTTTCAACGGCACTTACCTATCCTAGCAGCATCTCCCCGCGGTATCTTCTACCATTCCCATGGAGCGCTTTGCTCTCCTTCTCCCGCGAATATGGCTCGCGGATAGAGACTGAAGTGACTGAAGCGAGGAGGAAGAACGGCAACGAAAAGAGAGAGGATATCGAGAGGAAACGCCCCAAGTTGAGATACAAGTTCTTCTGGCCTTTTGTTTTTGGAGCAGAACCGAGCGGAACGGGAACAAGGATACCACGTCTAAAACGAATTCGTTAGTGGCATCCAACCCCTTTTCGCTCGCAAGAACGCCTACCCCCTTGCCGTGCTTTAAGTCTCTGTCGTGAATAATTGCTCGAATCAGATTAAAGCGGTGCTCGGCCGATTGATTGCAAACGTAATTACGGACACTGCACGTTCCGTTCGCTCTTTTCAGAGTTTTAAATTTATCGGCCATTTAAGCGAATCCTGAAGCTGACTTAATTGCAGGAAATATTTGAGAACGATTCCATTTCACAATTACACTTCCAACTGTTAATACGTTATGCACATAGAGAATACACGCTTTTGTTAACCTTTAATTGGCCAGGTTTTATTTGGACATCAGACTCGACCACAACTTTAAACGTTTACTACATTATCTTTTATGTTCTGCTTTCAGAGACCATACGATACATGTATATATTTTGTCGAATCGTGTTGCAAATTATAAAATTTGTTTAATCTTTGATGAACATTGTTGACCACGCAATGTTAGGATACGTTATTGGTCAAAGGTAGATCAATACCTAACTGCAGGCTGACTATGCTTTCTGACTGACTAAATGTCACAAAAAACGTCATCTATTGAATTTACTTAGAAGTTCAATGTGATGAGTTAATTAAATTTTTGTTCTGGTGAAAGTTTAACCATTGAAAATGCTGTGTCATGCGAGGAATGAGTTAACAGACATAATGTCTGAGTCCCTTGCCTATTAGACTACTTGACATGCAAACATATTGTATGTAAAACATTATAATTCGTGAACAAATTATAACTTCGTGATCCTTTTGTCTTGCAGACAATATCACCAGGAGCCCCGCAGAGACAAGCAAACGGAGAAACAACCCATAACCACAATGGGTATCCTGCGCTACCGAGCTTGAGCAACAATAACATTCTGAACCCCATGAATAATTTAAACGGTATCAATACACAAACACCTTACGATACCAAATGACAAACGAAGTAAACGCCTATTGTATCCATCGAATCGCGAATCGCGTTGCCAAATTTCTTTAACACTTCTGTTAACACTATCGTAGATCCTCGAAGCTGTTAAAAATTTACGTTCGCGTCTTGAGGGTTGAAAGACGTTGACAAGGCGCGTAAAATTATATTTGTTCAAAATAGCAGCGTTTTATTTTACAATGTAATTGTACTTTTGTTGTCACTTTTTTACTTGAAATTTTTTTGGTTTGTGGTCACTATAGTCAACGTGTTAAGGAACCACGCATAGATGCACGTTTACAATTATCGAGACTCCTATTCCTTCGGAATCTTAGACATTAAGATACTTATCGCGTGATAATTTTAACACCGGTGAATTATTGAATTCACCAGACTGTACTGAATAATTTACTCGCGCGACTTTATCGTGGATACTGTCCATAAGTATTTAATGCACATGACCCACAACTTCCACTCATTTAGTTATACAAAAATACTTCTCGCAAGAAAATTGTTACCAGCGCAATCCCATATTAAAAAAATGGCTCCAATAAAAAATGAGCAACGAAACAATAAATAATGAAAGACAATTTTTAGTTCAAGGAAGAATGATGAGCATACACGCTCCTCATATATTTACAAATTCTAAATTTATAATTTTATAAAATTTGTTCCTCTGGTACCAATAATTGTATGACTATATGTTTGATGAAAGTGCAAATACTTATAGAGAGTATACATCATAACCCGTCGTTAGGCGACACTGAAAGGCTGTCAGTAAATCGCGCGAGGCTATTGGTGCTGTTTTAGGAAGTTTAATTGTTCGAATTTCGCCAGCTAAATTAGAATGTAAAAATCGATGTTGAACGACACGAGAAGGGGGGAGAGAGAAGGATAAGACGATGTTGAAGCACGCGGGTAAACCAAATGCTCAGGGGTGATCAAAGTTTGGCCGTTCTTGTAGTCGACTTTGCTGTCCGTTGCGGGCAACGCCGGTAAATCTAGCTTTACCGGACTACCGGACCAACGGACTACCGGAGGTAGAACTCGAGGAATGGCCACGGGGTAAAATTGGTGAGCGAGGTCGAGCTTGGCAGATCGAATCGGTAGCTGGCCTTCGGCATCCAAGCCGAGCCACCCCCTTGGGGCTCATACGTTACGGGGTGACTTAAGCATTGTTTCAACTTCGAATCTCTCGCTAGAGGGCCAGATTGATGTCACGAACTTTTCCGTTGCCTTATTTGCGAGTCAGATAACGAGGCTGAGTTATGTCGAAAGTTCTCTCTTTCCCGGCATGGTCGGGCGCTATCAGAGCGGCCGAAAATCTTTTATTTCCTTCTCCGTGCGGGAGATTTGTCGACAACGCTCGCAGAAAGAGTTTCGCGATCTCTCGAACGGTAATACGCTTACGTCTTTGTCAGACTTTCTCGGTTAATACGTTGACCGCCATGTTGTCCGAAAATTCTAAAGAAGTAAGGGAACTTTGAAAGGTCGAGACAATACTGAATTACCTTTGTTAATAACTTGTCAGTTCTCACTGTGACGATCAACGTGTGGACAATTATTTTTTATTGAAACGTATGTTTTGTAAGAGGTTATTACTCGCGTAGTTTCTAAACGTCTCTGAGATGAAAATTGTAATGATCGGTAAAGGAAACTAAACTGTATAGTGGCGTACGACTACTAACCGATTTGTCTAATCAAATAATTCGCATAGATTACGATTTAGTAGAGAACGATTTTATATTAGATCATCTCATAAATAATTTCGTACACTTATTTTTAACGAACCACGTGTGAACCCTTTGTTAGCCTAATTTCTTAAGGATGAGATAATCTAATATAAATAGTATCGACGAACGAATCAGAATTGTATCTAAGCTGCTTATATAACAGGACTACAAGCAAGTCCAACTCGAATGCATGTAAAGAAAAAGCATTTTGAACGAGGAAGGAAGTTCGCTAGCATAGACACGTATTGTATCATAGTTCTATCATAGAGACATCAATAAAATTACTGTTTCGATGTTACTCGAAGTTGTTTGGTTTCTCACAACGGGGAGACGAAGAGATGTCATCTTATTGATTTCAAAACGCATTCGTAGGACTTTAAAGTCGACGCCTCGTAATATCTTCGCATCCCCGTTCCCGAGATTTACCCTACGCTCCAACCTTCGCGTTTCCTCTGAATTATTTAAGGCAGCTACGTGATTGGCCGACAAATCCGGTATACCTCAATAATTTACCAATCATACGCGGTCCTTTGTGTTTTATACGCCACGTTTCGTATAAATCGCATTGCGTATTCAGGAGAACGAGATCCAACTCTATTCGGGCGTGAACGCGAACCCCTGTGTATTCGCGCCGCCGACAAAAAGCGGAAACGGGAACCTAGACTGATCGTAAGGTGAGTTTTGAAGATACTTTACACGATACGTCGAACCTAAGGTAAGTCGAATTCTAAAATATTTTCTGATGTCTAAGTTTCTAAGTCCTAAGTTTTGTAAATCTTGAAATTCCCAAAGCTCTAAATATTCAGATTCATAAATGTCATAACTTGCAATATGTCAAAATGATGACCTAACTAATCTTAAAATGATGAACTAACCTAATCAAATTCTGACCTAACCTAATTGGACGAAATTCTGAAATGTCCAACTCCATCATCAAAAGATCCAATAAACGTTTCTGTCCACCCCTGTATAAATCAAGGTTTCGAACGGGTGACTATAATTTGTGAGGTGCAACGAGAAAAGAATGATCGCGGTAATAAAGTATGATCCGATTCTGTAAAAGGAACCGCTTATCTACGATCAAACGTCTGGGGAGTAAGTAAACTGAGGGTAGGTGGAAAGCATTCGGGCGAGCATTCGATGTAAATTGGCAATTTTTCTCGTGCGGCCCACGGTAATCATCGGCAATTAGACCACGGGCCTCCGATAAATGTTATTTATGACCGCGATTATCCGCGGCGCACCTAGCTGCTCGAAGGTTCGCCTAACTATGAAACACCCCCTGCCGTCGGCCGTCTAATTGGTCCGCGATTATTCCTGTTTGTACAAAATGTCGGTACAAGCGCCACTTTACCTCGCTGCAAATACTGGCGAAACTTTCTGCCGGATCACGTAGACCGATTTAATGCGTTCGGGTCACGGACAACCGCGAACAACTTAACCGGACAGGATTTTATCACCTCGTTTCGTACCATCGATTACACCTCTACGAAATACTGAAAAATCTAAGGATATCGTTGTGTCTTTTTATTTTCTTTATAATTGTATCTGAACAGGTAGGCTCTAGTAGATTATAACAATTGTATCTGAAGGTAGACTCTAGTAGATTATAACAAATTTGTGGGATAATTTTGTAGACCTTAATTAAAGCAGGAAAAGCATTCTAGACATTCCGAAAAATCTAAGGATATCGTTGTGTCTTTTTATTTTTTTTATAATTGTATCTGAACAGGTAGAGTCTAGTAGATTATAACAAATTTGTGGGATAATTTTGCAGAGCTTAATTAAAGCAGTATAAAATAACATGAAATTTATTAGTAGATTTTTCACCCCTTCTGATCATACTTCTTAACCAGTGCCGAAATGTTGATATAAATTAATGTTTCTATAGCTGTAAAAAATTTGCAGGGAAAATATTCTTGCAAGGATAATAAACATTGAATATATTTTTCCACGGTTACGATATGGTAGAATGAAAGTATAGGCATTCGAAATCGTATTCCATCCGTTGAACGTGATTAAAAGGGAAGAACGAGCGTATCGCGCTCCTCGTGGTCCTTGAAACAATATTATTATTAAAAGCTGTGTGCGCGGTCCGGTGATCCACATGAGTCGACGGAATGACGGAAAGAGTGGACACGCGGGCCAACGGAGAGAAAGGCTGAAAGCGCGTGGGAGGTCGGGGGTGGTCCGGCGACGGAAGAGCGATTAATTAAAAGAGCAAAAACTGTTTTCATAAAATTCATTTGCGGAAATATGCGCCGACTGAAATAATATCCGGCCGATGAGCGCGCGTGTCCCTGCTCGGCGACGCGACGTTCCCGGGGACGATTCTCCGGTGAAAAAACCGACGCGAATAAAAATGGAGGCTGGACGAAATGCGAAAGTTTTCGCATTTTTTTACGTTCGTCCAACGGACCGTGTATACGTTATCGCTGTGACGGTGCGCGGGAAGCGTTCGTGTGCGTGCGTTTATTCTCTTGACCCGGCATCGTAAGCGTATCGTGCATACACCGGTTACGAAGCAACCAATCTTTTCTGTCTTTTCCTTCTTTTCTCTGTCCCTTCTGTGAACCTCTCATCCCCCTCTGTTCCGTTGTCGCAACCCTGTCTCCCCCTTTTTTTTTTCTTTTTATTTTGTTCACCGCGTTTCCCTCGTTCTCGCTTTCATTCAATCTCGCAGTTGTTCAGTCATAAAAATATTTCTACGCTTTCCTGGATATTTTTTTCTTCTTCTCCGTAGCTCGCACACTTTTCGCTGCCATTATTCCGCACGACTAGGAGTGGCGCGAAGTGTGATTTAAACGCGCGTAAAAGTGGCCGTTAAAAAGGCAAGAAAGCCTCCTTAACTCCCGCTTTGATTGGCCAACTCGGTTTATTAAAACGCCCTGGGCGATATTACATATTTTTCTTCTCGCTTGAAACCGACCACTTCAATGCTACTGTTCTCTTCGTTTCTTACACCCGTTGCCCATTCTTTCAGACTCTTTGTCGAAGTATAAGGCTAGCTGCTCAAATAACCATTCTCTCGTTCGCAGTTCCTTTTCTTCTGCCACCACCTTCCGGCTACGGTTTTACTACGCCTTGGCAAACTTTCTGAGCGAACTTTGCTCAACGAGCTACGTTTCCAAACGATACAAGATGTCGTTCCGGAATTCCCTAAATTCTAGATACACCTGTGTTAACATGCACTGCAATAGCTTTTGAGACTTTAGAGATTTGGGGATTTTTGAATCGAGGGTTTAGAAATTTGGGTATTTGGGAATTTGGGAATGTAAGAGTAGAGAGTTGGAGAATTTAAAGTTTGGAAATTCGACAAAATTAGAATCTGGGAATTTGGAAATCTAGGATTTGTAAAATTAAGGGGTTGGAAATTCAGCAATGTGGAAGTTTAGAAAATTGAAAATTGTAAAATTTGTAAACTATAAATTTTCGAAAGTAATGCAGCGACAATAGAATTTTTGCAGTAATACTAATTAATATGGCAGAGCGTAGCGAGATGCTTGCCGCTAATTAAGAAATACCTAGCGAGCTCTCTTTAACAGCGCAAGGGCGAGGAGGCGGAAAAATAAGAGGTAGAAATTCCACGGCTGCTCTGGCACCCTTAAAACGAGGTAATCTTAATCCTTGGCCAAGTTAAACCAACTGCTAAGCTTTTCATTATGCCGAAATGAGCACGCGAAGATCTCTTCGTGTCGGGGTTGTTTTTTTTCTCTGCCGATATCGGAAGGTAACGTTTAATCTTTTCTTTACATCCTCGCAAAATTTTCCCAACAACTTGAAGACTTGCCGGAATCTTTCAGTTTAAAATCGTTTACAGAACGCGAGTTTTTATTTTCATTTTGCCATCGAACTCCGTGTACATCTCCCGAAGGCATCGTTTACGACGAAAATGAAAAATAAAACGCAGGCGGAAGAAAACTTTGGGAACTTTAAATTCGAGCGGCGCGAAAGACGACGAAAAGTTTTACGAGCAGCCCTGCTGGCTGGGCTGGTTTGAATTGCATCAATTAAAAAAGACCGTTTCGCGCGAAAATTCCATAAAGCGACGGACGAAGGGCTGCGTCAAATGTCCCTGCACGTTCGTCGATAAAACCTTTTCACTTTTTTCGCACTTTTTCGTTTGCATCACCGATAACTATTACCGTCGCCATTTAATTCCGTTTTGTTTGATTCCGAGTAAAATCCTCTTAATTATATTAAAGATTACTTTTGTCGTTCAGAATATTAACTATCGCACATTTTCAACGAATATAAGAGACGTTTTGTGGGAGATACATTTGCCATTTTTAACAATGATAAAATTTACGGGTCGAAACGAAGAATTTAATTTGAAAGCAAAAAAGACCTGATGCGATATCCGCTCAATATCTGAGCGAAATGATAAAAACTGACGAGCGGTGCACACGTTTGAAATATTTTTAAAGGAACATCAATGAAACAGAAAAATGCAATTCTACGAAAAGAATTCAACTATAGTACCTGTGTGAATTGGATAAAAAAATTTGAACAACGTTGTCATAATATTGTCCGCTGAAAGAACAGCATAGTCCGATGTGTAAAATCAAAGGGTGAATTATACAAAGAGACAAAAGTTTGGAGAAATTCAAAGATTTTCTGCTCTTCGAATACTTTCCAGTGATATTTGAAATATTTCAATTTCTCTCCGTCAGAGGAACCCTCGGAAGGGGGATGAAAATAGGAAAACGATCCTTGAGAAATGTAAAGCCGATAGGGGATGAAAGGCTGTAAGTGATACACGTTCGATTGTTCGGAAACTGCCCACTTATCCTTTTAATCTACCTCAGATATTTCCAACAATTTTCAGTAATTCCCATATTTTTGTTCTCAGTATTTGAATAAAAATATTTCGAAATAGAAGAAAAATGTTTGAGTCCGACAATTTCGAAGGTGAAATTAAATCACATCGATGAACGAGGGAATCGAAAGGTTTCGCAACAGAAACCTTTGAAAAATCACGCCGCGAAAGAACTCGTTACAGTTTCCATTTGAACGACGTTCCTTCAATCGTGTTACACAATTTAATTTAAAAAAAATCGCTCCGATAAAACCTTCATGAAATACAATTTAACATATTTTTCTACTAAATGCAGGTTTATTTTGTGGTGGATGGTTTCTCTAGAAAATGGCGGCTGTAGGATAGAAGACTTAGGTTACTTCTTAGTACTCGAGTTTTCAAACTTAGAAGGGTGGAATTGCGGAATTTGGGAGATTAGAATTAGGGTTTAATAATTTGGGAAATTAAGAATTTTCGGGGGTGTAGAGATTGGGGTATGTGAGAATAATACTTGTATTTGAAGATGTGGAGGTTTAGGGATGCAAGTATTTAGGGTTGTAGGAATGCAGGAATACGAGAACTTGAGGACTTAAATTTGAAGGAATATGTGAACTTGAATTTTTGTGTGTAGGGGTTGGGACTTGTAGAATTTGAAAATTTGGGAATTTGGTGGTCTGAAAATTTAGAAAACAAAGCACCTTAAATTTACCCCCAAAATTGAAGACAGACCTACATTTCTCTCAAAAATTCATATCCAAAAGAATCTGACACTGACTACCTAAAAAGTAACGTTTCTGTAGCACTCCGATAAAGCAGTATCGGTTTACCGATTTTCCCGAAAAAGTACCAAAAAAAGAGGACTTTAGGGAGTTCCCGACAGAATCGAGCAATCTTGAGCTCCTTTGTTTTCGAGATTCTGCCACTTGTAAATATAATTACCCGAAGCTTCTCTCCACAGCGGAGCCCCTTCCTCCTCGTACTTCCACCTGGCCCATCCCATCGTCTCTAATTTGATTCCGCGGTTGTTTTCACCCACCTTCGCCGCCTCCTCTCCTCTGTTCTGGGCTTCGCCCACGCATTGTCTCTTGTCTCTTCATTCAAATTACCCTCCGCTTTCCCATTCTCGCGCCGCTACAACCACCACCCCCTCTGTTCCTCGCCCGGTCCCTGCCAGCCAGATCCACGCCGTCGTTTTCACCCTTATTGTTGCGGTTTTATTGAATCCGGTCGTGCATTGTCTGCGCGCGAGCGAGACGCGGCCGTTGTTCAAAGAAAATTGGCGCGCAGTTCGAAATGCGCGAATATATTCGTCTTTCAACGGGGGCTCTCCCTTCCGGCCGGCCCGGATGAAATCGAGTTTCACGGGCGCGTAAGTACGGTCAAAAGGTACACAATACGCTGCTACATCGTCATTGTGCAGTACATGTTTTTTTCCTACAGTTGGCAAACCATAAAATCGTTATCCGGGGAAAATGGTTTACAAAAGAACACAGAATGCCTACAATGCGGTGCTTCGGAGCGGAGCTTAACCCTTAAAGGTTATCGTCAAATCACGTTAATATCGTGGCTGACTTCGGTTTTCTCTTATTTTTTAAACCAACGTGGCAGAAGACTAATACTGTTATTTGATATTAAATGAACAGTGTAACAATTATTGTTTCTGTGGAGAAATTTCACTATTATACTTGATCAATATATGTTGTCAATGTATTAGGTTAATATTAATAGTACTGAAACTATATTTTGTTCTATTCCCATAAGAGTAGAATTTCGTAATAATGCGAGATGGTTGCTCAGTTCTTGAATATGAATCGTTTCAGCATCGAATGATCTTCGTCGGTTTGGTTCTATGGTATTGTCTCATTTTCCAGGCTGCATAAATATGTAAGACAGTGGAACTCGTGACTGGACTACGTTATGGGGATGGTGAAAGAAATCTGTGCCGGGAGGGTAACGTCTATGGGAACGTTCGAAGGGGAAGCGAACGGCGTTTACATATCAAGAATCGAACGGAAATGCAGGGACAAAGAGTCAACATGCAAAGACGGATCGTTCTTGTTTATTCTGGCATTGTTTCCGGGGTGCACGTTTAACAGGAACGCTATCGAGCGAAAATAAAAAAAAATACATAAATATTTTTCCAATAAGTTTCGAGTACGTATGTCGACAGGTCGTTTCGACGAACGAAATTGTTGTCGGCAAACAACGAAAGACAGCGGTAGGGTGGGCGATAAAAAAAGAGAGGGATGCTTAATAGCCGTCAGAGACGCGATTGTTGATTCGCGTAATGAAATCAAGAGTAATCTAGAGGGCGATAGCTTTTGTCCGGGATGTATGAATTTTCGACGAGCGACCATTAATTATTTGAAATTAAATATCCTTCACAGGTTTTAATTAAAATGTTTACAATGCGCGGGTCCGCCCTGCCCCTCCAGATTACCGGTGCGACATTTTATGACGCCGATATATTAAAAAGCTACGGATTCATTCATCACCGACCGATTCGGCGTTTTATCCGATAGCCTTTTCACGGGACTACACCCTCGATTATATCAAACGTGAAACATGACGAAACAAATTAAATCTGTCGTAATGAATATATATTTTTTTCAAAATAGTCTATACTTAGTCGATGACGAGGTAGCTGTTTAATCGTTTACACGTGTTTCCAAAACTACACAAACGATTTGGTAAATATTTCAATCGATCGATTAAATATTTTGCCTCCCGATTAACTGACACGCGAAACCTAGAAAACATTCGACGCATGTATACAGAGTTATTAACAGATCGGCTTTCGCGAATCGCCGGATCGTTTGATCGTCAGTTTCCAAATCCAATAATGCAATTATAACGCGTTTCGATAATATTCGTGTAATTAAAATTCCGCGCCCCCACGCTCGCGAGCTTCGCCCCGAACCTCGGGTGCCTCTGCTACCCGTGGTCCCTGACTCTTGTGAGCAAACGATTCTTGTTTGTTTTGCAAACAAAGGGTTTCTCGCAAGGGTTGGAGAGACTTCGGGTCGAGTGAGGGAAAAGGAGGGAGAAAGTGAAGCGTGGCGGAGCGAAGGGACGAAAGAAAGGAGGACGGGAGGGAAAGTGAAAAGGGGGTGTAGCTGGAAAACAGGGGCAGAATTATTACATCTTTTGTTCGAAGGCTCGAACCGCCCCATTTGCGGAATTGCGGATCGCGATCCAGCCGCGATTGCGACCGCTGAATGCCACAGGGTCGGCGAGGCTTTTGTTAGTTTTGACTAATTTCCGCCAGGTAATCTGCTTCAATTCGAATTTCCCCGGCCGTAATGGCGTGTTACACAGGAATTCGGTAAAATCGTCTATGCGATCGCGAAATCCTGATTACTTTACGACTGATTGCGATGGATAATCACTTTTCATCGGTCTTACTTTTCAAATACTTAAATTGTTATAAATCATGTTGTAATTAAAACTACTGCTTTCGGTTGGTTACCTGACAGGAGATATTTAATCTGAAGTAGTATCTCAAACAATATTAACTCTTGCACCATTTTGACTCGTAAGGTACTCGTACTTCAGCTGTGATAATTTTTACTCAAATTTTTGATACACTACAATCTGGAGTCCAATCATAATTTGCATAGTTAACAAATTAACTTAACATTTCAACTTTCTTCATTTTAATATTGTAGCTACTTCTGACTGACGCACCTGACAAATAAATCGTAATGCCAGGGGTTAAGTTCAAATGATAAAATGTATCAGATGAGATATTAAAATTAAAATAAATTCTCTGAAGCGATAAAATCACGTTTTACATTCCGTACACAGCGATCCTGTTAATAAACAGGTAACTGAAAAATTCAAGAACACGTTCGAATGTAACATACATCGAGGAGTACCATCGTGATTAAAGTGTCTGTCGAAAACGTTTTCCCGTGTTCTTCCATTGGCGGAGAATAAACCGAAGAGTCGGTCGTTACCATAAATTCTTAATCCGAATCGGCGGTAAAACTGAAAGTTAACTAAGTTCGGTAACATTAGCCGTAACAATGCTCGCCAGTAAGTTCTTACGGTAACGATGCTGTAACGACGGTTTCCGGACCGTGGCAATTTCTTGCGATAAAGTCACCGATGGGACCCACAAGAATTAAACTTGCTCAAGGGCTGGGTTTGCCGATGGTGCAACCACCGTGGTATAGGGATTAAAATTTTACGGCCACCGTTCTCCATGCTGGCTTATCGTTTCTATAATACAAAAATCGGCCAGATTTATTCGAGCAGCGATGCATTTCACAATTTTTTTAGAGAATTAATGCTTCTCATAAAATTCGACGTTTCGAGGTGCGAACAAATTGCACGGACTTTTAGATAATTTTATATCTAATATCCTATCATGTTTATCCGTTTATAATATATTGTCTGCGAAAACAAATCATCATACTGATCTTACAAATTCGCAAACTTCTATATACTCTAAATTCACAAGTAACCAGTCTGCTGATTGTTAACCTTCAGAGCAGATTTTTCCAAACTTGTACAGATTATATGACAAATAAGAACTTAAGGCTTCTGTGCAGATAAAGAAAAACGAAACTAGAGTGTAGAGCAAACGATGCGACGTGGACAAAAACAATTTTTCATCCGCAAATGAAGCACAGCCTACCGCAGCGGGGAACGAGTAATCAGAGAATAAGCGATTCAAGACTGCGGTTGGAACTCAATGCATCCTGGCTCGCGTATAATTCGATACGTCTATCGTATCGCCTTACCGTCGATTCGATAAATCGGACGAGTAACTTGGACGCGACATCGGCCAGAGGAAACCGAGCATGCTGGGTCTCATGTATCATCTACTACTTGCCAGATCGACGCTTTCACCGGCAGTCAATTACATTAACGAAGAAACACGGGGCGACAAGCGAGCAAGAAAAGCTATACCAACATGGAAACTTATAACTCCACACCCTACCGGCTCGCCATTTTTCCTCTTTCCGTTTCTGTAACAGTATACCGATGGCGTCTCGACTAACTTCTGCCAACAACATCCAGACATTAATTTCGTCCGATTAGACCCGCTGGACGAGCGAAAACAACGGAAAACGTCACGAAAAGAACAAAAGAATTCTTCAATTCGTCGTCACCCTTCTTGGAAGCATTCGAATTCTTGTAGCGCGACGGAAAGAGGAGTATTTTAACCCTTCTTCGTATAATCCTTCCCTCTGCTTGATTCTCATGGCGGTCGGTATAATCGTGCCACACCGGTATTCCCGCGGGAGCCGTTGCTCTCGACACGATTCCTTCGAAGGATGAAACGGCGAAAAGTTTAATGAGTCCGCCTACCGCGTGTCCTCGGTCGGTAAAATTACCTTTTCCTTCTCTTAAGGACCCTGATTCGGGCTACGTTTCTGCAATTGACTTCGTGATAAGGATCCAATTTATCTTGCTTTAATCTACGTACAAAGCTACACATTAGATACAGACAATTGTCAGTATATGTGATAATAAGCCAAGTCATATTTGGTGGTTACAGTAACATTACTGTTCCAAGTTGATTTTTTAAGAGTAAGAAATTGTGACAGATTACCAAGAATTTGTTTCTCGACAAAGGGTAAAGTCAAAACGTGTGCGAGGCAGACATATCGACTGTGCAGAGCGCTATTTCAAGGGACAAACACACAGCATTCCGAAACATAAACGCGACCGGTGAGCACTAATGGACCAGCTTAAATATGGAAGAACAACCTGCCCACCGGCTAGCGGGTAACAATAAACTAACACTTAAGACGTACTCCGAGACACAATGCCAAGTCACACTCTTCGCGCTAACGATCTCACCTTCAAGCTTCAAGTCTTACACCGCCGTCTCTGCCGAGGACTGCTGGGGTTACGAGAAAGAGCAACGAACACTGGCAAATAAATGCATCAACTACGGGTATAAAAAAGTGTGATGTATTATTTTTCTGATGTAGGTTAAATTAAATTATACCTTGTTGCACGCGACCATGCAGTCTCACATTGTACCTTTGTGTGTCTTTTCTTTAATTGCAGGGTAATAAGTAAAGACGAGCCCAACGGTGTACTGTAATTCTTCGTTTAAACGAACGAGACGAGGCCACGTTATTCGCCACGTCGTAAAAACTAACAATGATGGAAATATTAGTTTTTAAAGCCGCGCAGGGTGTCGTTAACGGTCTGAACCTTTCCCGTTCACGAGCTGAAAGTTGCTAGCCCCTCGTTGCTCGTCGCTTTTCTTACGCCTCGCGTTTATAGGCCTTCGTGAGCTATAATTCCTTTTTTCTTTCGCTTGCAACGGGAGAAAGAAAGCGTGTTCCGTCTACTTCCTAGTAAGTTATACCGCTTTATTCGGAATGCACGTGAAAGTGGCTGATAAAAATTTTTACCGAAGAAATAATTACTCGGGAAGTTATGTCGTTTTGTAATTCCATTAACTTGACGTCGAAGGTTGTTGCTAAGGCTTCGCGAGATTGAGCGGACGTTTGCAACGTATCTTTAAATTTGAACCGGTGCTTTTCGATCGTGACGCTCGATAACCGTGGTCATTATAAATTTAAGCGCTTTTAACAAAAGCCACGTTAGCTCACAGCCGTCGTGCACGCAATGCCGGCACTTTGCATGCCGCATTCCGAACGACTTGCCACCCTTGTTTGAACTGGCGAACTGGTGTTGCGCTCAAAGTCCGAATGCATAATTAATCGGGTTATCAATTAAAGGTACGCTGCCGATTCGTGATCGCTTCAAGATCGGTGTTCCTCTCCGATCTTGACTTTAGATTACGATCGAATTTCACCAATGACCTGTGGTAAAATAGAAAATTTACAAATTAGAAAATTAAAGTATCGATTGAAACTGCTATTTAATAAGAAAGGTATTTTATTCATTCACGAACCACAGGAACGTCTTTGCGTTGAATTACATTCTCGATAAACGAGGAATGGCAAGAGATCGATCAACTGAATCCTCATTGGTTGAATAGCACAGAGGTACGTAAACCCTGTTTGCAACCAACGAACTCAATCATTCTCTCTGTTCTACGAAACGGCAAGTATCAACATTGTCTGTGTAAACACAGGAAACGGAATGCACTTTGCTTGATATTTAATGCGAATGACAAATCCTTCCAGTGAATTTGCAATTACCTAAGGGACCTGAATAACATATCTTTCGTGAAATATTTTTAGACACTGGATAATTAATTTAGAGCTCGAAAGAGACTTCGAGGATTTCTAATTGATTGCAAGCAGCTATAACCTCTATAACTTACATAAATATTTAGTGTTACTTACTGAGCTGGGTTCAGAATAAATATATTTAAACATAATTGCAGCTATTTTATAAACTAATCTTTTGATGTAAAATGAGATTAAAATTGAAGTAAATGGTATGTTGCTTTTAATCACACAAAAGTTAAAAGATAAAAACAAGGTAATCCATAAACACAGTTGATATGAAATTTTAACTAACTCTTTGGCGCGCTCTGTGTGCGAGCATCGAAATTAGTGAACCATAATATGGTAAGCCATGATGGTTTATGGTTGGATGATAAAATTGACGTTTCAAAACATTTACTCATTGCTGTTGATATTTCTATAAATATCGTATCGAATTATCGTACAAGCTTTCTTTTTGCGTTTCTTAATTCAGTATCAAGAGAAGTTTTAATAGTACCATTATCGCCATCTAGCGGTCAGTGACGTCACTAATGAATTACGTATTATAAATTTAAAATTTATATGTTATATAGTACAAATAAAGATTCTATACTTTTAGTGATATCTACAAAATAATATTATAAATATTTGAAAGCATGATAATTAATTTAAATAATTGTCGATTCGAGAAACTCCCACCTGGCGGTGGACTTCCGGTACTAATACGTAATATTTCGTTGAATTTCCGTTGCGTGAGTTGCGTCAGTGAACGGTAATTTTTAAATTGCGCACTCATATAAAGTGTGAAACTATAAAAATGAAGAATTGAAACTTGCAGGAAAAAGGTAATTGTTAATTATTCTGTTAACCTTGTTAAATGTTATTGTCATAGTTCCTACGAAGAACGTAGGAATTACGTAAAAACTGAAATAAAGACATGTTTTATATTTGTTAAATTAGTCCATTTTTATTAACAAGTTTGCATATAATACTATAGCCTATTTTTTAAATGAAACATGTAATTTAAATGCTTGAATGTAATTGGCGATTGTTTAGTAATGACAGAAGCGCACAGAAATACTGTTACTAAGCACTTGTAGATAATGACATCCAATGTTCGTCGTAACGTCCATTCTTAGCGATGATTATCTCTTTATTGGTAGACTCGGTCCTGTTTAGCAGTTACAGGGGCTTTTGCAAGAGCATTGTCCGCCAGACGAGCAACTGCATTTATCTGTGGAAGGAAATTGAATCACTTAATGTCCAATAATTTTTATACGTCGCGGGCAATGAACGTGTTATGGTGTCATAAAAAGGAAATCATTTATTGCTTCAAAAATGTACCGGCAATTTGTAGAAAGTACAGAAATTTATAGGAGAAACTCTAGTTTAGACAAGATTATACGACCAACTAACACTGACGGCCATGGTTGAACGGTCGGTCATTGCCCGAATTTAAAAAAAAAGGGACAGGTACGGTTAGAACTGTGACTACATTCTTTGAAGGAACTATTGTTTATGACAAAAAGTAGCCTTGGTACACGTAAAAGGACGCGATATTTCCGGTTACATGTAAATAAAAATACGAAAAGTAATTCTAATAAAAAGCTACCTCCGCATCCAGTTTCGGAAGCACACTTGCATTTGTCGTCGCACTTGCAGTCTTTGCACTTGCCTGGAAAGAGAATTTTAAAACGTTACATTTACAATCTTAATTGTTTAATGAAAATAACGAGCAAATCAACACATTAGTCAGTGAATTATTTCATCAATTTCTAAATGCCAGTAAAATTTTCAAGAAAATTCCATATTGCACAATTTCTCATTAAATTAATTTATTTATAAAACTTTTAAAGTTAACATAAATAATAAAATAATTAAGATTTAGTGACATTAAACATGATTATATTTGCAAATATATTGACAATAAAATTTTTTAATAATAATAATAGTGCAATATCAGAAATAAAATTTAATTAATTTAAACAATATAAGTATGATTTAAACACGCATTTAATAAATTGTAAACATTAATGTTCAGTTGAAATATTAAACTCTTCAGAATTACATAATTTTTTAGAATGAATGTAAATCCTTACCGCTGCATTGTTCACAGTTTGGTCCCGGCATTTTCGTTTGTAGTTGATTACGTCGTACGTAGGCTTTCGTCAGCAATGGTAGCTTGATGATTACTTCGGAACTCTGTTGAGCTCCTTCGAATTTATCGATTACCCCCTTCCATGATCTGCTGCACCTCGACGACGTGTGCAACGTAGATTATGTGTGCCATGCGCAAAGCAGGAGTGTACTTCTCTTACCAGACCCCACGTACATTCCACATCATAAATAATTAAATCATATACACCTACTTAGTTTTGTCGATATCTTATAATTTACAACACACATAATAAAACTGGATAAATATGTTACACATGATTTTTCGAACTCAATTTTTTATTCTTTGATTACGGTACAAGGCCCGTAAAGAAATTCTACGGTCCTTTAAGTGCAACACGTGACACAATAATAATGAGATAAGAACGCAGATTCTAACGTAATAGCGTCGAGTAAATTCTAGAAATTCCGCTTAAAGTAATAACTCAATAATTCTCATTGCATCAAATAATTGCACTTAATTTTAGAATTTATTTGAAAGCAAAGTTAAGGAAATTTTACGTTTATGTACAATGTATGTAATAAGGAGTAAAAGTTACAAATTTCATTTATATTCTTTTAAAACTTAGAACAGAAATAAACAATATCATGAGATTTTTATTTATCGATATTACCCTTCACAATACTTTATACCACTTTTAATAAAAATATAAAATATTTAACTTATTGCGAACATTTAATTGTTATTTAAATATTTTTTCGTTTGCCTATAAAGTTTGTCTTATTAGCTGCCTGTTCAATATGAACAGATTCATTCTCAGGTTCATAATGAATTTCATATACACCATCCTGAGCAGTGTTATGCCGTTTTTGAACTGTATTAGCACGGGCTGAAAATATTTTCATACATATGCATTTATGTTTCAACAGATGCTTAAATATTTATATAATTAAATAAAATACCTTGATGACGAATAACAACCTTGCTTTGTGCACACTCCAGCAATTTTTTAACCCGTGCACCTGTTTTAGGGGAGCTGCTTTCTTTTATCTAACAAAAATTATAAAAATGAATAACTTTTTGTAAAATAAGAAAAATGTATGTGTAAAAACACTTACTGTCTTAACTTGTAAAGGCATTTTGTATGAAACTTTTGGGAGTACAAAATGACTTTTAGGTGTATTGTAATTTTCTGGTATATTATTTGCAATTGCCTTAAAAAGTTTTAAGTAAAATTTTAATATTAAAAGATACACAAACTTGGTGAAATATAATGAAACCCAATGAATATTTACCTGTGGTGTATGTATATTTGTTTTCACTTTTGGAGATAAAGTGATTTTCAATGTTGGTTTTTCACATGTTTCATTTCTTTCTTTTAAAGGTGTACTTTGTTTTAAATTTTTATTTGGAGTTGATTTGAGATTTTTTCTTACAGGAGTCAGTAACAAATTATCTCTTTTAGGACGTACATTTTTTATTAGCTTCATATCTGTACCTCTAATGTACATTCCCACTGGAGAAATTATAGTGTTATAATTCAACCTATACAATCCTTCTGCATGAGGACTCTTCAGAATATGTCTTTCCATTGTATTTTTTGCAGGGCTCACAGGTGGAAAATATGTCTTTTTTCTTTTACAATTTTGGCTTGGAGGGGTTTTCCCTGGTGTAACAAAAAGTTTCGGTTTTATATTTTCTTTTTTTGTCTCCTTTTCATTACTTTTTTCCTTGGATAGTAATTTATATGGACTATAAGATTTCGCGTTTGTACTAAGAGTGGATACTTTTGGACTTGACTTCTTCACATTAAAATTCCCTTCTTTAGAAACTGGAGTTGCATATTTTATATCAGGACTTTTATTATTTTCAAGTGTACTGTTAGAAGTATTAAAATTTGAATCTTGAAGTAATTTAAAGAAAGGTTTTTGCTTCTCCAGATATGATTGATAATCTTTACAAGACATTAAAGTTTTGAGAAATTTAGCTTCATCTATAGTCAATGAATCTGACTCATTATCATCAGCAAACAGAGGAGACATACGTAATGATCTTTGTGCTTCTACTGATGTAGGATCTGCATTAATTTCTGTAATAAGTCTGGCTGTATCAAGACACCTTTTTCTTTTTTCTGCTATATCTTGTAGTAGTGTTTTTTCTAATTCATCCGGGTCAACTATCACATAACCACTTGTAGTTTTATCAGATTGCGTTTTATTGATATCAAATTTTTCACTTAATTTTATAGATCTTTTTTTAGAATATGATACCTTATCATGATGAGCATTTTTAAATTTGTTATATGTTTCTTGCTGTAAATCTGAGCAATCAGATTCTAATTTTTTAGAATTTTGACACTTATAGAATAAATTAGGGCTACTAGCAACTGCATTTTTTCTGAGAGTTTTATCAGCAGCATCAGATATATTCAACAAAGCCATTTGTTCTTCACATATGTGGTTAATTTGATTCATATTTAACAAAGAGGGTACTGATAAACTTTTATGTAACAATTTAGATTTTTCCATTTCTTCGGGAAACATTCTTCTACATTGAGCTTCCAGACGTTCAAAAGATGTAATACTAGATTCATTTCCTGACATATTAACTACACTGTCAACACTCCCACTACAATTATTTTTAGATATTTTGTTGAAAAATCTTTTTCTCATTACATCTATTCCAGATATGGGTGTAATAGGTGTGGACATATTCAGAGGTGAAGTTATTAATATTTCTGTTTTAGGAGTATTGACAGAATTTTGTTTATCACATGTAGGACTTGTAAAGACTTGTTTTGGGCACTGAGATATAGAAGGTGGAGACAAAACCCATTCAGGAGCAGATTCATCTTCAATGAACTTACACATCTTTCTGAATTCTGTGGTCAATCTACTCAAATTTAATGCAGATGAATTACATGCATCACTATCATTATTGACAACAGATTCTTCAATAATAGTTAATAATTTTTCAGTAAAATTTTGTGGTGAATTCATAAACTGGTTAGACAAACGTTTTAAAATTTTTGATTTTGAGCTTTCTTTCATTTTATTAAGTTCATTGTCTAAAGAACAAAGTATGTTTTCAAATTTCTTTACTTCACTGTTTACATGGTCTTCATTTGAGCAATTTATATCAGACTTGTTTGTATGGACATTATAATTAGTATCTCTTTGTGAATCTTCATTCTTCATATTATTTTCTGATTCATTATGTGAAATAGATATAACATTGCTTTTTAATTGTTCATTCTTTGGAGAACACTGTGAATTATCACATGTTTTATGATTATGAATTCTGTCACACAGTTGTTCGGTTTCGACTGAATCAATACGTTTATTTAAATCTAGTTTGGACGGAGTAGATGGATATGTTATCACAGATGACATAAATGAATCTTGCTTATGTAAATGCTTTGTAGAATTGCCAGATAAAATAATGGAATGTTTAGCACTGTGATTTCCATCATCACGTGTGTGATTACTTACACTTTTACAGTCATCTAAACTGTCCTGAGATATCGAATAAAGTGTATTGGAATTAGTCACTGATTCAGTTATATTTTCTAAAAAAAAAAAGTAGATTATTGAAGTGTAGAATCACATAATGCACTTGAGAAACTAAGAGATACTTGTATGAACTACAATGTACTTACGAAAGCTGTTTAAGGAATCTGTAAAATCGTCAGCGCGTCTTCGACGTTGGCTCATTTTAATATTATATAAAAATTTTATATGATAATCATACACGTTTTCGAAAATAAATATTTCTATAGCGTCTGTTCGATAAGTACGTTACCGTTTACTGTTTTCGATCCATTTTAAATTCTCAGTGTGACTAACATACTATAACGAAATCGTGGGTATAGTAAATTAATTGTGACTATAGTAAAATTTTATTCGTTATGTTGGTACACGTAAAGATTCAAACGATTGTAACTTCAGCAAACCTATCTAACTTTATATAATTCTTTATTTTTAAGGTATTATTCTTATGAATATAACATGAAGTGATTTAAATAAATGATAAGATACAGCATTTTTAAGTTTAATCTTTATTAATGAGACGTTTAAGAAGGAAGTCGAATCTGTACATAAATGTTAACCTACAATAGTTTTCATGAATTTGAATCAGCAGACAGCAACAAATACCTCAGTACCTAATATATATGATGAAAAGTACATTAAATTTGTAAATGATGTATTAAAGGAAACATCTGAAAGTTATGAAAAAGAACAGAAATGTATGTATTTTGAAATGCATTATAATGTTTACTTATAATTAAGTAATGATGGGTACTTTAGTTTCAGACACTATACTATTAAATCTGTATAACATTTTTGGCGATATACTTGAAAGAGCACTAGATTTGTATGAACAGGGACGGGTAACTCATATTTTTCCATCTGAAACAGTTGGAGTGGCATCACATAATGCCAGAAATAATGCTAGATATTTGATACAAGTTAAAGGATTATCAAATGTATCATATACACTCTTCCCTGACATTAATTACTGTACTTGTGCCTCATTTAGGTATAAGGTCTTAAGTTGTTTTTGGGGATTATTATAATAAACAACATTATTATCAAATATTAATTTTGCAGATGCCAAGTGTTAAATGATAAGTCTCTGTTTACTTGTAAACATGTTTTAGCAGCTTGGTTAGCAGCATTCACAAAAGATAAATTATCTTATCAATATATAGCAGAGAAGCAATTTCAAAGTTTGTTGCTATATCAGGTTTCATACAAGCAACATGTATCCTGATATAGAAGATTATAGTTTAGTAGCAAAGCTAGGAAATCTTAAAACTGTAGTTCAGTTATTGAAGGCAATTAATTTTAAAGAGGTATAACAATAAAAATTTTTATTCAATCTCATATAAAAATGAGCATAATGAATAATATTTCATTTTGTTCAGAATGCTACTTGTTTTGGAACTGAGAATGGTTTAAAAGTAACAGTAGAAGATGCAAAATGTATGCAAGCTAGTGCTTATATTCCTGTTAATGTATTCCAAGTATTTAACTTAAAGGAAGATGTTATTTTTAGAATAAATTTAAATGTATTGGTAGAGTGTCTTTGTATGTTTTGGAGCAACATAAATATTCATGGAAGTTCCGTGGCTTTGCAACTTTTTTATAAAGTAAATAGAAATTACATTGCATTATGCAACCCAAACAAGTGGAGTTAATAACAATAAGAGTATTTGATGATAGGGTACTGGACATCCAGTGAGTATACTTATAGAAGAAGATGGTGTTATAACAGACTGCTCTTTGAAAACTCAAGATCCAGATGAACTGTTAGATTTCTGCCTTGAACCAGAAAATGTTCTGAACAAAGTAGTACTACAAACCGAATTATTGAAAGATATTTTATCTGAACTGGATCCAACCAGTGACATGATCGAGGTAGAACGTAATTTTCTTTTAGCATTTTCATATTTCTATATTTTGGTAATATTACAGTTACTTCTATCACCATCTCCGCCTTTTTTTCGAATTAGTACAGCTGGTATAGCTGGAATTTGTCACATCGAATTGCCGCATGATGGTGATTTAATAGATAACTTCCAATGTATGTCAACGGCTACATCGAGTTACAGAATGTCGCACATTAAACCAGCCATGAAAGCATTGCAGTGTGCAAATAAAGTTTCTTTAAGAACTGATACATGTGGATTACTATGTTTTCAGTACATGGTTAAAACTGATGAGGCCCAAACTTGTTACATAGAATATTATGTAAGAAACGATTTGTGTTTAATCTAAATAACTAGATATGCATAACGATAAACATATAAAAATATCTTTCCAGGTTTCCCCTGTAATAGATTCAGATGAATAATTTCACAATAGCGGATCACTGATGGGATTATAAATAACTGTACAAACGTTCATAATACTTTTTGTTATATTATAATAATTCCAATTCGTTGTATTCATTTTTGTAATTTTTATTGCGTTTATATAAGAAAAATATTTTGCTACAAACTCTTTGATGATCCAAATTATTTGCATCCTTCGCGAACTCGCTTGACATATCCAACCACGGATATAATATAAACGAAAGCAAATATATAAACTATATCTAACGATGCGTAAAAAATATATAAATTTCCGGAAACGTTGTATAATAATTCTTGACGTATACGCGTGGGTACGCGTAGTAAAATATTGTGTGCATTCCTCTCGAAAATAATATTAGCAACGTTTATACGTTTCTGCGTATTATTGTGCGTTAACATATTTTCCTTTTTTTTTTCTTTACATTTTCAGAATGTAACTTTTTTCTTGAGAACAACTTTCAACACTTCGTAAGTCATCTTTTTATTCCTGAACTTTGTATACTCTCGTGCATACAATATCGTCAACTTTCATGATCTGTAACAGAAAAAAGTTGTTGAATTATTCAAATGTATTCGATGCAAAGTGAATGGAATGAAGACAATTGTAGGGGGCGGAATTTCTCACCACTTGCCTTCAATTTTGTGAGATCTAAATTTGCAAATTATTTTTAAATTCTCAAATTTCTAAAGCTTTAAATTTGAAACTTTGAGTTTGTAAATTTGATGATTGGCTAAGTCGACGCGTGCGATTTTTTCTTCAATTTCCGCTCAAGGTTTCGAAACGATTATTGCTATCCCCATTATTGAACTTCTTATTAAATTGTTCGAGTCACGAATATGAGTAGCACGCAGTAATTGGCGGACCTTTTGACCAATGACAAAGTCATTGTTATTATCATTACTCGCTTGCTCCGTTATCTTTCGTTATGTCGTTCAACCCTACAGAAGTTTCATTACATGAAACGTAACTCAATTGAACCGCTAAACTTCTAATTCTTTAATGAACAAAATTATGTAATTTATTATCGTGCAAGCTTTTATTATTGGATTTACCAGTTTACGGACGAATGAACCGATAAATGAATTACCGAGGTACAAAGGTTGATGATAAACCTGGCACAGTTAAATTCATCAACTTTGTTTTTCATACGTACCGCCTTCATTTCGGTCGGCGTGAATTCTCTTTCGATCGTAGTCTGTTTGTCTCCTTTTTGTATCTGAATGAGTTTATTTCCATCAAGAGTGCAGACGCTCTTCACCTTCCTACCGTCTGGCGTTTCTTCGTCGAACTCTTCGCCAAGTTTGAACTTTATTTCGGAGTTCTTGAATGGGCTAGTCGTCTTCAACGTGTAAAGTCCACTGTTCTCCGTCAATTCGACCACAGGACTTACGCTGCTGCCCATTTTACGCGTCATTAAACCTACGCCTGTAAATGAAGGAAGTAGTTTAGAAATCCATGCAGAATTGAAAGCACAAATTCACGATGTTCCATTAAACATTGGATTCGCAATCACTTCGATATTGAAAAAAAAATGTTGTAAATTTGTAAACGATTTTACCTAAACACTTCATGAATTCGTCGAAATTCTCACTGGATTGAAGTTTGTAACGTAAGCCCAAGAACTTCGACAGCATATTTGTAACGAATAGAGCGTGACGCGTAACCGATGGAAGCAAAATAAAGACTGAATACCAACGAGGCGGTTATCGCATCTTATATTGCGAATAATGACATTGTCGCACGCTGTTCATCAATTATACGAAAACCCGAGCTCCAGCTAATTGTAATACTAAGCAGATAGCATACTTTGAACTTTGATCGTCTGTGTTGCTATTCTTTATTTATCGTATTATATTTTTCTTTCAATTGATATTTTCTTATCATTTACAATCGTACTCGTGTAATAAATTATCTTCTGCTAAATCCGTAATTGCACATCACCAGTATAATATGCAGTAAATTACGAGCAAATTTACATTTGAAATATCATCTTATTGTACATTTATGGACTTCGATGCAACTTAGTTTCTTTGATAAATTTTTTCAAATTAAGATTACATCTCATTGAACGTTTTCATTAGAATAAATTTATGTCTCCATTGCTAACGTTTCAATCAACCCATGCGATAATACATGGCAAATAACAACAAAAAAAAACTTCTAGAGTTTTAATGTTCCCCTCTTTCGAGATTGTCTCAGTTTTCCCGAGCAAACCGGCCAATGTATTTTTATTAAATCAACTCTATAAGTACCATACATTAGTACGATTCGACTGACAATTGGGATTTATTAATCATGCCGGTAAATTAATTCAAGTGCTAAATTGGAGTACAATCGGACTCTGTCTGTGGCACATGGCGGGAATTAAGCGTGAGGTCAGGTCGTTGCACGATCACCGGGGCCATAGTTCAACATATTAAAATTGATTATCTTATTTATCATTACCATCTTTCCAACCCCTAATACCATGAAACGAGACCGTTCCACGGTGGCTTAAATTCAATTCACGCCGGTTTTGTAATAACAAACTGCCTCGCATTCTCGGTATTCGTTTCGCTAAATCAACATATTTGTATCACCTCTTATCGTCTTCTAATTACACGATCCACATTCAGGACCGTAACTACCGGCGACATACAAAATTGGCACTCACTGCGCAGCTTAAAAATTTATTAGAATTTAATTCTCAAATTTTTAAATCTCAACCTTTCTATATCTTCAAATTTTCCCCAAGTTCTCAGATAAATTTCCAAATCTCCAATTCTTAGATTCTCTAAAAGTTGATCATGTTACCGGTATTCAAGCTAAGGAATCTGGCTCATAAATAAAAATTCTAGTCATGACTTGTATGTGTCTCTTCTCAGAAGAGATGTTTACGACGCTATCAAAGTCCACAAAATACGTATATCGATCGCCACGGGGGAGGTAACCGCATAAATTAATCATATTACATGGACATCGATTAGAATCTTGTTTATCGTTGTGTAACGATCGTTCGTCATTGTACAAGAAAATCTTAGCGGATCTTCTTAAACGTTCCATTTTGATCACGGTGTATTTGCCGGGCGTTGGCGATAATTCAATGCCGCAATTTCTCAAACGCATCGTCGCGGGATTAATTCGTCAAATTCAGGAATGTTCATTGTAGATGCGGAAGATGTCCGAACTTATAATAATTAATACATACCGAGTGCCTTCATGAATTCGTCGAAATTCTCGCTGCTGAACAGCTTGTACCGTTTTCCAAGGTACTGTTCGGCCGGCATGACGATCGATCGAAATTGCCTGGACTCGAGCACGTGACTGAGAATATATTCCCGAAAGTCGGTTCCTTGAAGTCGGACAGAGAAACTGGAGCAATGGACCCGATGTTCACTGTATTGTCGCCGGTTCTCGACTGACTAGGATCCGGGAGGATGAACAGTGTTAAAGGTATACTGCACGTTCCCGACCGAGTACACACCTCTCTCCAACAGCACGTCTCTCCCTTCCACCCTCTCACCGACATTTGTCCCTGTTATTTCATCTCACTCTTTTCCTTCACCCTCTTTTCGCCTTTCCCTCCGTCCTCCACTCTTTCTCGTTCTTTTTCATCTTCTATTTGAAAACCACCGTCTCGCCCCGCTCCTTTTGCTCCAGCGTTTGAGAGATCCCCCACCCGGAATATTCGCAGCTGCTGCGTAGAATCGGTGTGCCTCGTCCTTTCGTCGTGTGCGTGCAATTTCTACTTTTTGTTTCCTCCGTTGTTGCTAAACTGTTTTCCCTTTCTTCTGTTTCCCGCTTCCGTTGCCGCGTATGCGTGATCCCGAGATCTCGGACGATCAATATATTTTCCTAATCTTTTAGGGTTATCAGTATTTGCCGGTGCTGAGACATTCGCGATATTTACTGGGTGTGAATTCCTCCGCGCTCGCGATTACGGAGAATTCGGGGAAGTCAAGCTTTTATAAATTTGGGATATTGCAAGTTTTAAAATGTAGGAACTCAAGTCGGAAATCTGTGTATTTGGAAGTCGATATTTATTGAAACTCCTGATTAATACAATGTCAGTATCAACATTCGATCGTTTGAGGTGTTGTCGTTACAGGTGTTAACAAAATTACGGATCATGTATTTGGGTATCATTAATCCCAGGTTGCTCACCGCTTTGTAGTCCCGGGTGTATCGAATATCTTACCGGTTGGACACCGATACGGTATCGAACTCGGGCCTCCTTCATTTTTGATTTTATTGTCCCGATTAGAAAGTGATCGGTCAATCGAGGAAAATTGATGGCAATAATCGCGGTTAATTATTTCTCAGAGGTCATGCGCAAGTGTTCACCTGCCTTCGGGATCCAGACTGCGCACGACGCTCCCAGTCGCCATATTTTATGGCCGAACCGCGAATACGATTGTTTGTGATGCAATTTGAATAAACTTAATCGATCCTTACAAGTAGATCACGAAGAATCGTGACGGAGGGTTTACCTTCACCGGAGCATAGGAACGCAGCCTACGCTCTCGATGCAGCACGAAACGATTTAAATCAATTTCTTTCTCTTATTCAAACCACCACGCAGATATCTGTAGATCATGCAGTATAGCGTTACATTCGTGGAGTCGGCGTCGATTACGCTGCGTTTGCCAAACGGTCGATAACGGCATGGTAGGAAACGCGACGTGGCCGCGGTATGCCCGCGTTCATTCCTGCTGAACATGTCTACGATCACATAGCAACGCTCCCAGGGCTGGACTAACTGTTAGGCTGAACGAACACGTGCTTACCACGCTGAAGAAAAGGGCGCTGTGGAACCCTTCCTTTGTTGCATTCCTCCTGAACCACATTTTTGAAAGATTCAAAATTCCACCCTTTTGTAATTCAGAAATTTGTGGTTCAGGATTACGAAGTTCCAAAGTTTCAAAGTTGTAAAGTTAGGAGATCTAAAAGTTTGGATATTTTGAAGGGTCAAGGTACTGAAATTGTATAATGCAAAAGTTGCATAACCTTGAAGTTCTGAATTTTGGACCTTCTGTAGGGTTCAACTTCTGAAATTCCAAAGACTAAGACTTGCAAAACTCATAGAGTCCTTGATGATTTCAGAGTCCTGAAATTTTACTAGAATTTGATACATGCGAGGAGAGCCAAAATGTTTGGGGCGTTGAAGGACCTTGGTTCGTCCCTGAAGGCGCCACGTTCGACGTATTCGCGAACCTCGTATGTCCGGCAGCGTGAAAACTGCGAATTCCGCGCAGCCATCACGCGTTTCGTTGTCGCGGCAACTGAACCTTGCGCCGATTTTCAAACGTGTAGAAACGCTTGGGTCTGAAAGCACGCGCAAAGCGTGAAGCCGCGCGATTTAATTTGCATTATTTCACCGATCGTTCTATTTATAGCGGGCGAGCCGCGCGTTCGTCCGCGCGCGGTTATCGGGATACCTCCTACAACCGGTTTCAGCCGATCACCGGTTTCTCGACGACGTTATTATAAATCGGGTGCCGTCGACGCGCGCTTGTATCACCGTATTGGAAACGCGGCGACGACCGGCCGTCCAACGACTACGTTTCGCCACACGTACACACACGGGCACATGGACGGGCAAGAGGAAAGGAGGCGATCCGCCGCGCCGCGTGTTCGCGCGCGGGTTCCGTCGTCTTTCAGCTCTCTTGCCGTGTAGATTTGGCAACGCTGTGGCATAGCAGCGGCATAGATTCCGCTCCGCAACCGCAACCGCACGCCAGCCTACCGCCATGATGCCAAACCAAGCTGGCCGTACAACGGTTTCTCCGCAGTGACGCGCAAGCCGCCGGGGACGGCGTAGCACGATCGAATCGCTTGCGAGCAAAACGTTCCGTCCAGTATCGAACTCTTTTTTTCACCGTCCTCGGCCTTACATCTCGACGGATATTTTCGCCTTCCACGGATGTCGTTGCGAGAACGTTGGCTGACTCTCGTTGCGGTTCCCTGCACGCTCAGATTAATCCGAATCGATATTCCGGTATCTCGACGGTTGAGAAACAATCGGCTCTTTGACCGAGCCAAAGCTATCCCCTAGGCTTCTCGGATTTTGAACGCTCCCGATTGTTTCCTCTTCGTCACGTGTTTTATACGCACGTATATTGTGATCGGCAAGGGAGGGAACTTCGAGGGGTTGCAACATGTTCGATACCGAAAAGTTTATCGAAGAAATCGAGAAACGACCGGCGATTTACGATGTGAATCGCAGCGAGTACAACGACCGTAACGCCAAGATGACCGCGTGGGACGAGGTCTGCCAGGTGATGGTACCGAATTGGGCGCGCTTGACGGACGAGGAGAGAAACGTAGAAGGTATACACGCAGCAGCCTCTTGCGATCGATCGATCCGGATTCCTGCACTCGCACTTGTTTGACCCTGGCACGAGTAGCCGCGACTCTACCTGCGGTCGTTTAAAATTAGTACAATAGCTTTTTTCTCTCTTTTACTTCGACGATTATGGGACCGATCGGTTTGTCTTACATAATCTTCCACGGAAAATTACTCTCAAATTTCCCTTGAAAATTCTCTTCTCTAATTTAAAGAACCATTTCAACCCCTATGCATTCGATATCGATTTTCTTGTTGACAATTTCGCGAACAATATTTATATTATGAACAGAATGAAAAACATTCTGAAAGGCTTCTTTAATATCCAAGTGACCTTAAAATTTTTCATTTCGTTTTTATAGTTTCTGTTGTAAACTTGTCGCAATCCCCATAATTTTCAGAGAAAAATTTGCGGGGAAAATGGAGAAATATCCGAGATTATTTCATGAAAGAGCTAAAGCTTCAAAAGTCGCAGAAGTTAGGACCAGCTGGTCGGAAGCGAAAGAAATACATGTATTTTGATCAGCTGTTGTTCTTGATGCCCACGGTGGAGAATAAACGGTTGGTATCAAACTATTAAGCATGCTAATTAATAATAATATAAGTATGCTAATTAATAATAATATAAGTTTATCGAATCATGTAGGTCAGAAATTTTGTTACACGTTTCAAAGACATTTTCATTCAAAATAGTAGACTATTTTTATTTGTTGCGATTCTACATTATTTGCAACGCCACATTGTAATGTTTTATACGATGAAAATAGTCGCTACACATTCTTTTAATGTATCCTTGGCAGAGGTTCAATTTTTAAATCGTTTGGCATATCCACAATTCTTGAGTACCTTGTAACTTTTAGTGGAGATCTGATATTTCGTTGTAAATGTCTATTGACAATATATTGCAAATACGGTCTCTATATTGACAGTATCGATAGTGCACTGTGTATTGATCGCTTAAAATATTGACAATGTAAATTGATCATGGAGATCCTGAAATATTCACATGATCCGAAGTCTCCATAAAACGCAACATCTTATCCTGAGTGAATTGCAATTACCTGAAATCGATACCTGAGTTGTTATGTAAGACATTACAAAATTAAGTGGTGCCTTTTTTATCAACAAATGATACATGGTCGGTTTTAAAAATGAAATTTAGATTTTCACCTTTGATATGCACAGTAATTTAGGAAATTTTATTTGATGCAAATTTACTGAAATTTTTTGCAAACCTTTCATCGATCTAGATTCACCCTATATTGCTATATGTTACAGAAACGTAGGAGCAACGTTAAATAATTGCAAATCGGAAGAAAGCGAGGGTGAAGTTGACAATCCCGTGATCGAGGAATACGACGTACCATTGGCACACGCCGCTCCCTCCATAACGACAGGCAGGGAATATCTTCAACCGGGTGCCTCCTATAAAATGTACCCCCGTTATCCGAAGCAGCTTTGCGAGACGTCGTTCACGTCGTTCGATAATGAAATTCACGATATCCTGTCGTCGCACAGCAGTCAACGAGTTACTTACGACGAGGACGACTACGACAAAATGTTTCTGCTCTCCCTGTTACCGATCATACGACAAGTACCGGAAGAGAAGAAGCTGGACGTCAGGATACAGATGCAACAAGTCTTGGCGATGGCCATTCGACCGGCGGACAGCAAGCAATGATTTCGTGTTTCGTCGATCAACGGTGAAAACTCGAACGTTATCGAAGAATTGATATGGCCGGTGTCTCATATATTTTTGTTTCTCGACGGTGTACAGTTAACCGCACTTCGGCCGAGTTAATCTTAAGAATTGCTAATAATACCGTGGATTACGTTTGCGTCATAAACGTGATAATATTTCGGAACAGAGATAGCCTTCCACGATTGACATACGTTGATGGCCATAGACGCCAGTTTAGCTTCATCAGGATACAATGACTTAGGATACAATGGCTGGAAACAGTAGATTGTTCTGATATGTTACTATTAGGTATTTCTAAATAATGGCAATTATTGTAACAAATTTTTATTTTGTGTAGTGAGTCATGTTACCTTATCTGCAAATTCAGTCTTGACTCACCTCACAAAATGGTGTAGTGCAATTTTCGTTATCTAAATTAATTTATCTGATAGTGCATTCAGATATTTATTCATAGGTCAACATTCTTGAATTTTTGTTAATAGGAACATAATCACTTGTACACACAAAAATTAGAGTTGTCTTATTTTTTTTTAATGTAAACTTTTATTTAAAAGTTAGACTGTTTTAAGAGATGGTCGTGGTAGATTTTACTGTGGCAATCAACGTATTAACAAATTGCAACTTTGAGTACCTATACCTGTGATATTGCGCGAGGATACTACTTTCAATGAATGCAGAAACAGAAATAGAGTTTTTAACAAGATTACTGTGTTAATAGGAAGTGTGATCAATTCACACAGATAGGGTAACATATGTATTTTCATAACTTGAAACATAGGACTGATATTTTATCGATATTCATCCAGGAGCGTGAATTTGCAACGAATTATACGTATTTATTCGTTACTTTTGGTCGATACAAGATTCGTTCGTGTTTAGGGAATCGTGGGCAGGTGGCAGCACTGGTACCTTGCTTTCGAACTTTCCGCCGTATCACGTAAGATAATGTACTTAATTTAAAAATTTAAGGCGAAAATCACGTTCCGATTCAACCTACTTAACTTTACACTTAAATACTTTACTTATAATACTTGTTAAACGCGAATTATGTATATTTAATCATTTTGTACTCATGGATTGTTTATCTGTTCAAAATAAAGTTATTAGTAAACACCTTGATACGATAGTCTATACTTTGAAGTTATGCTCCGTGGAATTATTTTTAACTCGTCCCTGGGGTTATCGGTAATTGGCACTCGTTCATTTTCAACGTTCAACGCTATGCATGTAATTAAGATTGCAGGCATTTACAGCTATGGGATACAAATACTTAAAAATTCTGAAATACAGGTACATTATTGTGGGAGTCCATTTTATATAATAAATGATTAGCGGAATAAAAATAGCTTCGAACTGTATGCTTAATTATTAGTCTAACATATCCCACTTTTCAAGTGCCACTCAACGCGTTAAAGTGAAAAATGGAACAATCGTATTCTGAATAAGAGCAATTATAGCATGTCTTACCACATATGGTCGTTTCCACCACGCATTAACGCCGTCGACCGTTCATAATCTCGAGTTTCGAGTGGGCATATGCGAAAGCGAGTTAAACGTTAAAAACTTAAATCGCATTTTTGCTAGAACACTCGTTCCTAATCTCGGATGCAGGAAACATAGTATCGTGGAATCAAAACGAAACTCGCGTTATTTTTATTTCCACTGTAACGCAAACGGGATTTAATTATCTCTTCTCGCATTCCCTCGTGCGCAACGTTTTGTTGTAGCATAAAACAGTATCCACGCGAGACATCTAATTACAACGGATAATGAGTTCCATCCAGAATCCGAATTCTGGTCCTGTGGTATTTTTCAGCTGAAACAGACGACGGACAGATACAGGATTTCTGAAAATGGCGGGACCATTAATCGTCCCTTTAGTCAACTTGCAGATTTAGAAGTTAAAAGTTTAGAAAGAATAGACTGGAAATTTTTTTCAATTTGATCCTGCAGTTAGGTGAACGACACCGAAAGTATCGATCAATTCTACAATGTAAAAGGTTTCTGTGGTTCCATTGATTCCACTCTGTGTACTTCGTTGCGAGTGAAAACCAATCGCAAACAAATTTTTCATTCGAACTTTTTTACCCTGCAAATTCAATTTCGATTTCTGAATTGTTCATTAATCGAACCATCAAAGTTAAACGATTTCGTATCGCTGCCCTTGCACGCGTCGATTAGCCACTGTTTCCCTTCGGTTTTTCCGCGAGTTTAAATACAAACTTCCAATCATTGGTTTTCCATATATGTAAATTGGGAAAACACAGACACCGTACACGGAATATTCGGACGATTTCGTTTTATGGTGAAACTCGACCAGCCCGCAAGAAATCTCGTCACCCGTCAACGTATCTTTTGTTATCGAGCATTTACGACCGAACGTCCAAACAATAGAGATGCATCGTTTTTGCATTGCATTGTTTCGTCCTGATTTTTTGTACAATTTTTGATCCTCAAAGGGAACGTCGAACAAAAGAGACCTACAGATAGCACGTATCTATCCTGTTCGTTAACGAAGAAGGTTTTAAAATACATCATGTTAACTTGACAAATTAATTTAGTTTCCATTTACTCTTCATCGATTTTTCGACAAAATAAAATTTCAAATAAACGATGTAATTTCATGAACATAGGAAGATGAAATTCATACAAAAGGAAACTAAATTAAATTTCAAAATTTGAGTATGTATGAAGATTTATTAATTTACTGAACAGATGTCTGGCATATGTTTGACTGGCCAACATATGTGGGCACATGTGATAAAGGAATGTTATATCGCAATATTTTCTACGGATACAAAGGATATCATTTTGTATTTTAAAGAAGAGTTATTGTTTGTGTTCTGATTATGTAGGATCTAAAGCAAGTTAAGAAGCTTCTAAAGCTAAGAAGAATCGTAGACGATATGATAGTGTGTAGGGTCATCCACGTGTACGTGAGGCGGCAGTGAACGCGTACGAAAATTACCCTTGACCTTCCCTTAAAGCATCAAAATTAATTCAACGATACTTGATTCTCGGGTTGAAGAAAGAAGAGAATCCCCGACGGCAAGGATAATCGGTAACCGGTCTGGAACAGCAGGCGCGTAAACATACAAGGGTTACCAGCAACTAGTGGCGTTTGTTGAAACTCTACCCTCGGTGAACCCTCCTTTCCCTCGCATTCACTCCCACCCTCAATAGACACCACCTCATCCCCCTCTCTCTCGTTCTCCACGTATCAACCCCTCTCTCTTAGCCGTTTCTCTTACCCTCGCTCGTTCACCACGTTCCCCTCTTCCAGCATTCTATCCCTTTCCCTCTTTGACACGCGCGGCTTTCTCTCGCGCGCGCGTTCTTCTGCCTGTGGAGCAACTCGCAGCATCCATCGGCCCGCTCCGGACTTCAGTCCATGTCGAGATCGCGGCACCATCGGGACCCTAAGGACCCTTCGACACTCACGAATCCTTAGACCTATCTTGTATCGACGAACCAATTACGGCCGCATCACTTTCTATTAAATTAAAGGAACCCTACGATTCGAAGGGTACCTCCTGAACCGGTACCCTCGTTTCCTGGACTCCATCTATCTATGACACACAGCGGACAAAGACACCAGTAGACACTTCGCGGTTTCGAGTCAAAGATTCCTAAATCGGCGAAATTCATTTGCTATTCCGGCCGTGTTCGCGGGTCGAAGGACAAGCAATCGGTTGTCCCGCGATAACGGATGCCCTAAGGGGTCGCCGGAATAAAATTAGGTAATCGCATTTGATGCGGATAGGAGAACACGCGAAGCGTGATCGTTGAGGGAACGACATCGAAAGAGGAGGAAAAGCCACGAGGGCCCACGAGGAGACTGAAGAAGAGCGATTTCCCGCGAGACTGCCGGGGGTTGTTGCCCAGCCCCGGAGCGGACATCAGGCCCGGATGTTCGCAAGGACGAGACGCCGGAAACGCTGCCACGTTGGAAGGGAAAATATTGACGGCCGTCAACAAGTTCCTTACGACATCCCCTTTGGTTAACAAAGTCAAGTTACTGATGGTGAGTCTCCTTTCTCTATGTCTTCCATTGTTTCACGATGACACAGTTACCTCTTCAGAACTTGGCCAACTGACACTCTTCGATCTTTGGATAGTTCTGCAACATTATTTTGAGGATTCTTAGACTACTGCTGGTGGTGTAGGTCACTTCGAATTTCACTTGAGAACTTGTGCTTTTAAGGGTTAGAAAATTCTCTTCTTTGGGAAATTCTTTCAAATTATTTAAAATTTTTAGTTTTTTCTGTCAACTCCATTTACGATGATACAATGCATAGTTCTACGTGTGTCAATTTAAAAATTAAATTTCAAGGTTTGCAAGTAGTATGAATATCTGTAAATATGTTTGTATGTCCCCACATTTGAAAATTTAGTAATATGTACAATTGTAAATTTACAAATCTGAAAATTTACTCGAAAATTTCATTCAAAAACCAGAATTTGTTTCTGCGCCAAATACATTCTATGAATCTTGAACATCGATTTATTCAGAAATAAAACTTCGCGCAAAGGAACGTCACTGTGCATTCCTGACTTATTTCATGTAAATTCACACCCGTCCGTTGAGTCACTAGATCAGAGCTGTATGTTTGTATAATACATAAAATATTTTCCCTCTCCAAGCAATTTGTAGTATTATCATAATTCGTACATTTTGCATATTCCAGTCTTTGTTTCATTCTCTTGCGTGCACCGCACAGTTTGCATATTTTTTACATACGCCAGAAACCGAAGTTTACTCATCGCTATTCCACATTTCGAAACTTCGAAAACTCTTCGGTAAACGATTGTTATGTTTACAATTCCCTTGCAAGGAATTACGAACGTGAATTACGTTCTCCGTGGAATAATATCAAAACGGGTCAACCATAGTTTAACCGAGTAAAAATTCACTTACACGGATCGTTTGCCCCGATGGTACAAAACACGAGAATTTCTTGAAATTCCGTTGCGGTGCGGCATTTCAAAACGTTGCATCCTCCAAAGGAGGAAAGGTCTTGAAGAGTTAGGGCAATAACGCGAGTTATAAATGCGAGCAATAGAGCATTTTCATAACGCGGCTCCCGTAGTCATCGAAGAAAATCTCCATAGTTAGGTACTTTTCGTGAATGGACCTTTTGGTTTGCGGGAACAATGAAACGGAGATTTTATGCAAACGAAATTGCCCGTGGAGACTTCTCCTCGCGTCGTGTGAATACACCAGCCTAGCACCTTTTAATTACTCACTATTATCTAACTCTACCTTTGCTAACACGCCATATATCCTCCTATTCAAATGTTACTTTCTAGAACTTCTCATTACACCCTTGCGATACAGAATGGCGGTCACTTTCACAACAATTTTCATAAAATGAGAGCAAATATTTGACTGGTATTGCATACGGTATTTTTAAGGTACTTTAAAATTTACTTTTGGAATAAAATTAACAATTAACACTAAAACTACCAAACCGGTCAAATGACTGCTCCAAAAGTTTCTTATTATAAGGTACACATTTTGTTAAAATACATTCCTTGAAATCGGAATTGATTTTCATGAAGATAAAGAATAAATACAGAATATATACTAATTTAAGTTTCGTCGTTTGTTTATTTATTTTTTAACTTCATTTTTAATTTCAAATTAGATACACATATGCCGGTGACGTCTGACCGCCATTACGCGCACTGGAAGAAAATGAAGGTCGCTTCATATAATTTTTATATAAACGAACATAGATTTGTAATGTTACATGGCTATAATAATAAATGACTGTCCGCAGACCATCCATTCCGTTACATTAATAAAAAGCAGTGGTAAAGGGAGACAGTGTTTGAGCTTTGCAAGTGGTTCATTAAGCCACCCGCGCAAGTATGTTTTACCTCGCGAAGAATCGGCCTGGAAACGATAATCCGACGTGGGCAGGTCCGTCGAAAAAGCGTAGGCACGGTAGAATGGTAATTTGGGAACGGCGAATTTGGTATTCTGCCAGGAAATATGTATTCCCGAATACGGTACGCTGTAAAATTATTGCTCCGAGACAATACGAATCGATCGTATCGTTTTTTCCTTCAAATTCTCGCTCGACTTTCGACCACTTCGTTTCCCTTGTTTTCTAACTTGTTGCACGGCGTACGTTTTCGACACGGCACGATAATCCCTGTATTTAATCATCGATCCGAATTAATTCGTAGTCCAGGCACGAGCAAGTCCGAAGGAATTTACCGTTGTTATGCAACCGCGTCTATGATTGGAATGATCAAAGGGACGGTCGATGCAGTTTCGAGTCGTGTCTACAATGCAAGAACCCGTAGACGGCATTACGAATGAAGGTTGCAATCTCGATCTGTAATCTATCCCATCGATTTCTAATTAAATGTACTCGAGAACTCTGCTTGTGCATTATGCAGTGTTGGTGTAAATGCGGTAGAACGTGGGGTAAAGCACGTGGGTTTATGGCGCGGGACGTTACGGCGCGTGGGGTTATGACGAGGGGACATCTCAGACGTGGTAATAGGGCATGTAGTCATATTGCATGCGTCGATTCTATTGAATAATTCTATTGAGTAGAAATCTAATGTGTAGAGATCTCATATGTGGTAAAGGGTCACATACTCAAATTATGTAGGTGGAAATTAAACATGCTGTAGACCGACACATGGAGATCCAGTGCGTGTAAATCTAACGCAAAGAAATTCTATTGAGTAGAAATCTAATGTGTAGAGATTTCATATGTGGTAAATGGTCACATACTCAAACTACATGCGTGGAAATTAAATACCTTGTGAACCAACACATGGAGACCCAGTGCGTAGACATCTAACGCAAAAAAATTCTAATGAGTGGTAATCTAATGTGTAGAGATCTCATATGTGGTAATGGGTCACATACTCAAACTACATGTGTGGAAATTAAACATGCTATGAACCAAGACGTGGAGATCCAGTGCGTAGACATCTAACGCAAAGAAATTCTAATGAGTGGAAATCTAATATGTAGAAATCTCATATGTGATAAAGGGCCACATACTCAAACTACATGCGTGGAAATTAAACACCTTGTGAACCAACACATGGAGACCCAGTGCGTGGACATCTAACGCAAAGAAATTCTAATGAGTGGTAATCTAATGTGTAGAGATCTCATATGTGGTAATGGGTCACATACTCAAACTACATGCGTGGAAATTAAACATGCTATGAACCAAGACGTGGAGATCCAATTCGTGGACATCTATCTCAAAGAAATTCGACTGAGTAGAAATCTAATGCGTGGAAATCTACCTCATGAAGATCTATGCAAAGCACCCAGCATCCCCCATACGAATCACCCAAATTTCAAACTAAACTATTCAATCTACACAATCTCTATCTTCGAATCAGTCCCTCGAATTTCCCCCTATGCAATATACGTCAATGGTCATAAATCTGCAGCGTAGCACGTGCCTCCCCCATAAAAATGCAAATCGGATCAATTATTTAAAATATTACCGATATCGTCCATCCCATGCACGTAAGATGGTAATCTTGTTCTACTGTTTGAAACGTCCTTTGTCGAGTTCCTGCAGGAGTAGCCCGCCATTCGTGGCTTTATCGTGGACACGAGAACTCGAAATTCCTGGCGTGCATTACATATCATGGGGACAAATGGCCAGATCGTAGGCAGATACGAAGCGTCGCTAAAAGAATGCACCATCGGACAACTTGCGGTTTGAACTCGATTACGAGTGGACTTTCTGAATAGCGCGTGTCTCGTTTGTCAGATATATGGGCCATTGTGTTTTCGTCATTTGTACACAATGTCGCGCTTTATCAGTTAAAGGATTGCACAGGTTATTGATTTTTATTCGATCCTTCGCTACGAATGGAGTATCGTTTTATCAGCCTGGTGTTTATTGGTTTATGGAAACTTCGAGTTATACGATAGTTTTTCGATATTTTGCTGCAATATTAACCGCCCGAAAAATGGAACACAGCAATTTATATTGAACTTTATCTTTTTTTCAACAGGGATGATCTTGCGCGATATTGGGTACGTTGTAATTTTAACCAACGATGAATCAAAATTTGAAGTGCTTGTCTTAAAGGCTGAATCATATTATGGTGTCGTGGAACATCATCTGACAACGTTCCCGAAAGCAGTAACAGCTAAGTTACGAACTTCATCAGTCTTGTTCACCTGACCTGTCTCTCACGGATCACTATCTATTCAGATGCGTAACAATTCCCCTCGGGGAATCTTATTAACGAAGAAAAGGTTTCAAAACGTTTATCTAAATTTTTAACCAAATATCCCCACAAATATTCATTAATCAAGTAAAATATTATATCACCGTATTAAACTTATAATATTCGTTCATAAATAATGACACATTGGAAGTTACGAAACGTGTCCACATTTTTTATCAAAATATTTTATATCAAGGTTGATAGTTTCACACGAAATCGCATTTTTGAGGTTCCATTTTTCGAAACGTATTTCTTATCACCCTACCATCCAATCAGAGCCGAAGCATTTACCCAAAGGATCGAAAATCTCAGAGTTTCCCGCGCGTTGAAATCCCTAGTACCGTGGTTTAGTCATCGAATCTTCATCGGACAACTGTTCTTCAAACTTTCGGATATTTAGACAACCATCTGACGAATTTCTTAACATCCACAATTTGTATTTTCCTCTTCCAACCAAATAATAAATATTAATATTTAAAATTCCTGTCTTGGAGACCTAAATCGATACTTATTTCAAACACGAAGATCCTATTTCTATAAAGAGCCGATAAACAGAGCATACGAATGCCCAGACACCTAATTATTCGTACAGGGTTAATTCGGGTCAGTAGATTTACGTTTTAAACAGGCTTTTAGCGTGCTATCTCTGGTATGCGTTATTCCCGTCGGCCTGAGAGTTTGTTCGTTGCGGTAAAATAATTAAACGGCAACGTCATCGGGAAGTAAATGTTTAAAACAAACTCTTCCGACCGCACGGTTCGATTCGGCTTTCTTCATGCATAAATTGACAAGACC